CCTAAAACTACGCGCAGGGAAATCAAGAACCAATGGACGAAAGTCCTTTTTCAGTAACAGAGTGGTTGCAGCCTGGAATGCCCTGCCTACCGATGTTGTAACCTCCTCCTGTGTGAACTCCTTCAAGTGTAGACTTGACCTGAATCAAGCTTCCCAATTACCACCCCCACATCCACTCACATAACCGGTACCATCTTATAGGTGTTTATACTACTTGTAATTAGTAAGTAACAATTAATGATTACTCTTTTTCGACTAGCTGCCAGCTGTCCGCGAGTATGTGCAAAATCCCTTTTTCACCTTCCCATTTATCAATGTTTTTCTCCGACGACTTGTAACCAAGAGGGAGTTCAAAGGCGCTTGCCTATATTTCCCTTAATAAACTGATACTGATACAGTTTGATGTGGCGTGTATAGGCAAAATGTCTTTAGCTGATCTAACTGGAATGGCCGCTGTGGTGCTTATGAACAACAAATTAGAGACGGCATACATCCTTTCGATTGCGAACCGAAGTCGTCTCTTGATCACGTTTAACACGTTATCACCCTTGAAGGGGAGGTAGATGGTCACTGACTTTTTTGGTACGGATATTTCTTCAGGAATTCCTTGTCTGGGATGAGAGGCCTCAAAATTTATGGCGCCAGTAAATTCAGCATGCTTTGTCGCCTTTGCCTTATTCAAATTTATTCGGGTAAAGCATTATTCTGCCTATGTCATGCGCCACTGTGTGGCCGCTGGCGGGGATTGCGAACGAGAGAGACCCAAGGCACAACGGGCCGAGTGAGTCCCCTAAGAACCATCGGTGAATGCCCCTCTACCACAGGGTTAATCGCGTCTATGTTTGAGCATCTGATTTAGCGAACACAGTAACCGTATAGAGAAAGACCCCACTTGACTGTCAGTGGGTCCTTCTCTATACCGTTGCCAGCGAACACATTGCAGAAGCCTCTTGCGGTGCAGGAAGGTCATCGGAGCTCATCTTAGCATTTCCATAGTTAGCGTGAGGACGATTCGGGTACCCAACTAACAATTCCGTAGAGAGTCAAAAGCGCTGCTGAACCTTTGAGAGTATTTTTCGTTTCTTTGAACCCAACGTACGATCGAGCTCAACTAGCCTTATAATACCTTGCAGCGGCATCGGTGGAAGCCATTCGAATCTAAATGTTTCGACTAGGTGGCAAGCCCGGCTAGATCGCAGTTGGTAGCCAGGAATGGAAGGCGGACGGCGACCTTAACCCTAATCCTAACCTCAACCCTAACCCTAACCTCAACCTTGAACGTTAACCGTTAACCCTAACGGCATCACTAACCCTAACCCTAACCGAAATCGTAAACGTTACCGTAGCCCTTAGACATAGCCGTAACTGTGAAGCCTAACCGTAATACTGGAACCCATTCGTACGCACAAACCCTAACCGTAACCCGAAAACCTAAGCCTAAAGGCATAACCATAACCCGAAAATCGGAAACCATTAACCGGTGCCCTAATCCTAACCTCAGCCGTAAAACGGAAGCCAAATGGGACAGATATGATTATGGAGCCCCACAAAATAGCCCCAGTAAACAAGCCTCCCCCGGTCACCTGTAATACGGATCCTGGCTACCAACTGCGATCTAGCCGCAAGCCCGGGTCGAGCGGACTATAAGGGCAACCCAAGATGTTGTAACTTTAGTTAATCGGGCTAATTCAGTCAGGAGATTTGCTGTATAAAGGCTGCTGCCCGAGTAGTTAAAAAGCCACTGTTTTAATAAAGTCACTCTGTGGCGGATACTACAACCGGACTCGGTCATTATACATATAAAACCGTGCAAAAGCAAGCAGAATGACAAGTTTATTTGTCCGTCTCTAAAAAACGCATTGCTATACATCTGTCATGACTATTTGCAGAGAACCTCAACCAATGACTTCTGCACTTAGTCGAGAAAAAATTGGAGAAATTAATCCATCATCCACAGACTCCACAGGTAAGGCCATTTTTGAACATAAGCTTGGTAGAAAATATTTTTTCAACGGTGTCCCCTGTTTACCTATCATTTTTTGCGAGGCCGCATACTCACACACCGCCTTCATATATTCGTATAGTTTTTTGATTGACTCTGTTGGTCAAATGTCAGTCGACTTCCCCTCGAAACTACATTGTGTAACTGAACATCTTGATGAACTGTCCAACCTCTGCAGCTTTGGTGTTCATCGGATGCGAAGACTAATACATTCACCGCTGAACAGGAAGCACCTTTAGATGGCAAGGCTACACGGAAGCGGACACTGGGGTGTTCTTTTTGAAATGCCAGCAAAGACTAATCTCAGATGACACGTTTTGCCAGCATAAAAAAGAACTCCCGCTCTGATGTCAGATCCTGAATGCCTCTCTCATCACCCATTACAATTTATCGACTTAGTGCACTCCTTGCCTCGTTAACTTCCTCAGTTCTGCACACTTGCTCCATTGTACGCATCTGTACTGATGAAGCCGAAGGTCTTTTTTTCTTGATGAAGAAAGTGAACTGTTGTAAAGACCAAGATTGGAATCGCCATCAGCAGGCTCAATAATGCGGTTTGTGATTCCGGCATTAACCAAGGTGTCTGCAGTTAAGCCTTATTTCGTCGGCTGCTGTCTCGATCACAGTTATCTCGCGACCCAAGACCAAACGAAGCTGACGTTATCAAAGCAAACCGACCGCTGGCAAATAAGGCGCCATCCCTGCGCTGAGTAGACATGCAGTATCGGACGCAAACAATCATCCGACCTTTATTCTGCTCAGCCATGCTGTGTACCTGGTCAGTTTTGCTCTAGTGCCTCGAAACTGTTCGAATGTGTTGCCGTTTGCGCCTTGTTTTAGATATACAGGCGTCGACGCATGAACTCCAGCGTCTCGTCAGGTCCATTCTCCGCCGTTTTACAGGCCCGCAGCATTCAAAGCCCTTCCACAACATAGGGATCTGCCAGAGATGCTGAGTCCTGGATGAACCCTCGACCCCCTGGGCTGTGGCGACCGCAGGACAGCTGCAACTTTGAGGCGACTGTATGTCTACCCAGTGAGTGGCAAGCATTCTCGTCTCAGACATCGCACGGCATGTCCACAGGACGTCTGACCCCATTTGTGCAGGGCCAGGAGGTCTTGGGCATGTCTTTTCAGCATAGGCCGCAACTGTCAACCTGCTGAATTTGCGTTGCTACCTACGACGGTAATTCCTGCCTTCGTGCAGAATAAATCGTCCCTTTTCTAGTGCCCCACCTAGCATGCATGCATTCGCCTACACGTAACGCCGGTGGAAGTGGTTTAGGACGTGTGTACTGCTTTGGCTTTCACAGTTATCAACGACCGGTGCGAAAAAGCACTAAGACCGTTCACTCAAGTGTCGGATTCGGAGTATTTATTGTTTTGCTCAGTAAAATATGTTAAAAACAAACAGATGAATTAGTAAACTGGCCAAAGAAACTTCCAGGAAATGCCCCAACAGTCACACTTTTGCTAACCTCTAATACCACCTTACATTTCCCAGCCGGAGGAAGGGTAAAGCGAGCGCAGTAGACAGAACAAACGTCAGCAATCCCACTTGAACAGCCCAATTGAATTGGTTAGTATTGGCCATTCGAAACCAAAATGCGTTCTGCAAGTTGAAGGATATTCTGGTCTGCAACTGGCCCTCCGAGTTGGATACCCTGCACAAGTAACTGTAACTGCCCGCCATATCCCAGGATCGAACGATTAGACGGCCGTAACCGTCCACGTGGAGATTTGAGGGCCCTTCTAGCTGGATCCACTGGGTCATCGGGACGGGATATCCTTTGGCGGAGCAGACCAGTGCGCTCGGCGCCTGTATCACTTCAGCGACGCCCTGCACTTGCAGATCGTAGGGTGGCGTTACTAGAAAAATAGTCTTTGTTTCAGCGCCAGCTGCCGTCGTAGCCACGGAGTAGGTGCAGGCTGCCTTGAAAAAACCTGCCATCTCCTGACGGAGGAGGAGTGACGGCGTGGTTGCGGCAACGGTGAATTCTTCACTAATGGGCTTCTCTGTTCGCGGTTCAGATATCCACAATTTGAGATTGAGTGGCACACAGTCAGTTGTTGGTTCGCAGAATAGGTAGTCTCCAACAGCGAAGACGAGCTTGGAATTAGGGCTTACTCTAAAGTTTTCATTTTTGCCACAGGCTGAAACAGAGAAAACACGAGGATTTTCAGTTCCAGATACGAAGTTCCGTGTCCACATCTTTTGCTAGACTTTCGCATTTGCTACTTCACTTCGGTACACTTGAGGAAACGCAGTCTAACTATGTGTGGTTAAGTGGAGAACGTCTAACGGTGTAGCCAGGAATTTTCTTTCGCCTTTACATCCATCCCGTCTCAGCAAATGGCCTTTAATTGCGTCTGGACAATTCGTTGCAAAAAGGGTAATTTGGAAAATACGATTGCATTTCGGGTTTCAGTAGGTTTCTACAGAGAGCACCTTATGTGTCAGCATGGGTTACGTGTGTGTCGGCTGGTAGGACTGGTTTGTAATTCTCTTATCACTCTCGACTATACCTCTTTTGCTACTCCACCTGCTACTGCCCCCCCCTCTCCTACGACGACCGGTGCCGCCGGCCTAAGTGAACACTGAAAAGGTTCGCAAATGGAGGAGGCACATGTATGGCTTGGTGCTGACACGAAATCATCTGAAGTTGATACTTTGCTAATGGAAGAGCTAACTGACTGCTGCGTTTCTAGCGCCCTGCTGTGAGAAGGATATTGCATCGTTGGTAGCTAACCTAGCTAATTTTCACAAGAAGATGTACAGTGCGTGATCGATCTCATGAAATGTTGGCTGAAATTCTGAAATGCGTTTTGGAGTAGGAAGGATTACTTAGGTGAGATTGTAATACTGATTATTTTGCAGCATAATCCTATAGTATATCGGAATCAACAGGATGTCGCCTCTTGAATGCACTCCTTTTTGACATCCTGAAGGGCAAGGCACTCGGTAAAAAATGATTACTTATGTAGCATGCATTTTTCACACTGATCTCTGATGGCCTTATAAATTCAAATGCATTTTATAGAAAACACGCACAAAAATATGCTTTATTTTACTCATTTAGTAGAAAATCACATTTTCGTCATATTTTATACCCAAAGAAAGTGCATATTCGGGTTTTAAAAAAGTTTTTAATTATGAGATCTTTAAGACTGTGTGGTGTCCATATATACAGCGTCGCGCATGTTCGTTTACAAAGCTCCTCATGAAATGTACAACATAGCCAAAATCCATCACAGAATTTCATGAACTCCATATGGTATCTTCTTGAAGACATAGAGGAATATATGATCTTCCTTACGCGGAAAGCATGCACCTTGTGGACTTAAGTCGTTAAACGCTAATGCGATGGCAAATCGGGCTCAAAATTATTCGGGAATTAGAAACCTTTTTTAAAACCTAAATATACACTTTCTACCGCATGAGTAAAAGGAAGCATATTTTGTGCATGTTTTCTATAAAATACATTTGGATTTATAAATACATCCAAAATCAATAGGAAAAATGCCTCCTACTTAAGTAGTTATTTTTAACCAAGTCTGGTTTCTGCAAGAGGTCAAAAAGAAGTGCATTCAACAGCCGACACCCTGATGAATCTGAAATACTATGAGGTTATTTCGCATGATAATCAGTATTACAACCCCATCTAAGTGATTCTTCCTAATCGAAAACGCATTCCAGAATTTCGGTCAACATTTCATGAGATCGGTCACGCACTGTATAAGACATAAGCTCCGACCAACTCTCTGCGTTTTTCTTGTTGGAACCTCAACTAGAAAACCCCTCAGGTATCACCTATGTAAACCGACCAAGACCTTTCGAAGCACTAACGCAGTTTCAGATATTTTTTACTGGAATAAGGTTTTTTGCAGATCTAGCTTGGTGGTCTATCACTTTTTGCATCTGTCCCAAACATGTTAGACCTTCGTCTCGGACTTCGCTTTTCGTAGGACTACTGACTTCTGTTGACTCCCATGATCTTAGACATATTGGTTTCCTATAGTGGTTTTGAGGAATATATTGCAAATCTGCAAGTCAACTTTCTGGGTTTCCCGCAAATTTTTGCCTAAACGGCAGAAGGGATGGTTTTTGGGTTTGCGCTCTCTAGATGCTTCAATAGAAAAATCAACAAGGATTCCTTTACAATGTAACGAGTCGCAGATCATCATTGTATGCAAGTGCAGTCTTTCCCTTGGAAAATGGAATAATATTGGGCAAGGCGTTTAGTTCATTCAGGTGAGTCCAGCATTGAAATTGAAAACCATAAACGAATAATTTGTTAGCCCTGACATTTCTCTTCAATGTTACTAGAAATGAGTAATAGTTCAGTTTCGGATAATAATTACACCAGTAGATTGTTCATTTTCAGACCAGCTAGAGTAAGCATGGCCCACCCAATTAAGCCAAAGTTGCCCTATTTCAGATGATCGAGTACGAAGTTAGAGGCAGACGTGAAGGTATGCAAAGGCACTTTATACAACGAGCTATTCAGCAAATACGTTATGAGCTTCGCTGGTTCATTTAGCCATTATGCAATTATTGCGAATGATTTGATGTATTCGGACCTGGGAGTGGGCATTTTGTGTCGCCAAATTTGTACCACCTTTGGAGGCATTTCGGATACAGATATTTAAATGTATACGCAAAATACTCAACGTCGGAACGCCAGTACCCAAGGATAATACTTTACATTCCATAACTTACGTGTTTGTGACCAGCCTGATGTGAATTGCTTGCTCCCGCCGACGACGCGTCGAAGGAGTTGTGCCTCCTGGAAGTGTAAGACACGGCCATGATAGCTGAACCATTCGGGAACTATGACGCTTAAGCCTCGGTCATACTCCAAGTAATCTCCATCTTCCTCACCGTAAGGTCGATATAAAAGTGTTGTTTCAGTGATATATGATTCTGCGCCGATCGATGCGGTGCTAGACAAGCGCATACCCGGAAGCACATTCTGCGAGTCAAAATAAGCTAGAAAACAAGTGTAAATATCACCCACTGTGTGCGGACACACGAAGAACAGTTAGCAGAGATGAGAAAAGACCTCACCACAGTCCTTCCCTCTGCGTTCGGCCACTTGCTAAGAAGGTAAGTAGGAAGAAGCTGTTATAGGCAGGGGTTCTGCTATGTTTGTGCAAATGAGGTCCTAACTAGAGCCTACGCAGACAGGGGAGACCGGAATGGCCATTTTTGACTTATTGGCCGCCGTTAGCCAGCCATCCCCAACCCCAAGGTATGGAACACCTGGGATTCGATCCCACAACCCAATGGTTAGAATTTCAACGCTCCTAACCACTGAGCCACGGGCTCGCTGTCCATTGGGCTGTGATCGGTTAGGGTTTTGGACTTCTAACCCACAGACCGCAGGATCAAGCACCAGCTGTTGCTATTCTGCCTATATTACGCGCCGCTGTGCGGCCAATGGCGGGGTTCAAGAGGGGGAGAGAGTTCCGTAGCGCGATTAGTGGCGCCCCTCTAGCATGGTGTGTGCTTTGTAATTGGTGAATATGGTGAAGTTCCTGCCCTTGAGGAGGTGCCACAAGCGTGTCTCCGCAGGGCAAACGGGTGGACGTACGCATCCAAACGTGCTGTTGCGAGACGCAGAAGGTTCTACCTTTTTGGGGATGAAAGTCAATAGGAATATTTGCGTGATTAAGCAGCAGTACCGCGTCAGCAGTAGCAATGGCGATATTTTGCATCAAGGAGAAGGTGCCGTCAGATGAATGCCGCTGGAGACACACTGATGAGCCGAACCCCTCATACTTGTGTCATACAGCGGCGTATATCAGCTCGCCACGTGTTTGGGCATTTAGCTAGCACCTGCGCTGTAAAGTACGATATGTCATCCTGTCTGTGCATATACTACCGGCTGCCTGTTGGCAGTTTATGAAGACTACACGGCTTTTCGGCTGTAGCTGATGGACTTCACCACAAATGCTCATATCAGATTTTTGTCTGGTCCTATAAGTCTCACATAGACTGATCTGCTCCAGGCTAGAGATTGACTTCTGGGTAGATTAAAAAGCTGCAATATCAAAACTGAAATATATACCAGAAAAGCGCGCAGCGGACACTGGGGGACTCACTGACTCACAGCTGTGTCATGCAGCGACAGAATATCGGTGAAACACTTGTCTGGGCTTTTACCTAGTACCTGTGCTGTTAGATAGGTTACCTCGCGCGACCTATGCAATCACTATGTGTATTCGACTCGGGAATGATTAAAACTGTTTCAAACAATTTTACGAGTTGCTGTATACTTTAAAAATCAATCCGCGTGTTTCGCTGCCTTTCAATTAACGGACTACATAACAATTACTTTTCTCTATGACTGTTATGTCCGGAATGTGGCGTTTCTTCGACGCTTTACTCGAGGGAAGCAGGGCGGGGGGGGGGGTAATTCCACCGGGCGGGTTCACAAATTCCCTCATATCAGTCCGGGTGTTTGGCAGCTTTTCGGTTTGCGGACCACACATCACAGACCTTTTCTCAAACTGATTCATACATCTGGTCTTTTTACTTCTAGCAGCCCATCTACTAGTGCTTTGGGTGTAGAACACATCATCCACTTCGTAAGCAGCTCCCCAAACACGGCCGGTTTATACTACCAAATCCAGGCAGACTGATGTCATCGAAATGGTTGACGACGGTGTGAGCTTCTGGCTGTCTTGGTCGGGGCTCTTCAACGTCCAAACAAATCTCACAATTCAGCATGAACCGAGGGATTGCGCATTGTTTGACACTTCTTCGGGGCACGAAAACGATGAGCTACCTCGCTAACGTAGATTGGCGACACATGGCAGCTAATGGCTGGGGATGCACCCACCAATGGACAGCCGTGCTTGCCAGTTGATGAGTTGTGCATAGCTTAAAATCCAAGAGGCTTGCGATCATGAAAAAAACATACTGTCGGCACTCCACTTTCAAGGCCACTGTCTAGGTATTTCTTTGCCCATCTACCTCATTCGTAAGCAGGGACGTTAAGTATGAATCCGAAGCGTAAGACTTATAAGGTCGTTTTGCATGTTGTTAAATACACTTCCCTCTTAATGCTGGGTTATAACGCAAGCAGAAAGTAACCGAACTGAAACTATAGCACGTACCTCGATCGGCTGAGTCCCTTTTACCTAAAAAGTCAAAGAATTCCAAGTAAAGAGGTGTGAAAGTGCGTTTATACAACTATATGTAATGAATATTCACGATCCCCAACCAGGAGATGTGAATTTAATTCCATTCGGGTTGTGTTGGTTTGAATCCCGAGGAGTCCGCAAGTTTACTGGGGAAAAATTAACTTTCCGTGAGTGCGGGGGAAATTAAATAGGTTCTGTCCTGACTAACGATATTATTTATGGAGTACGTTCAGGTTAAGGTTTCGTCATTTTCAGCATTCCGACCGGGAGTCGTCTGCGTCAAGATGATGGCATGCAGAATCATGCCTGATAGCGTCTATCTCCTGACTAATGTACCAACCTTCTCCAAACTTCAGGGTCATATGTGTTTATGTAGCCGCACATGAGGTAAACAAACCCCGGCCACTTGTAATACGTTTAACGAGGCTTAGAATAGACATCGCCGACTTGGCTACCTTTGAACATTGCAGCGAAGGCTTAAGCGAGGTTGTGATCCACGACTACTACTACTACTACTACTACTACTACTACTACTACTACTACTACTACTACTACTGTCACCACCACTACCACCACCACCACCACTACTACTACTACTACTGCTACTACTACGACTGGTGTCTTCTGATCTACAACGGGACTGGGTCACGTTTCTTGTGGCGCTCTGAGTACACCTACTACATAGACGCTATAAGCTTAATGGCATTCGTCAGCGGGCCTAAGTGCTCATTCGCGTACGCCTGTCCCCTCCTCTTCTGAGAAAGAATAGAAACATTTGTGAGGCGGTTGCGTCGCAAAGTGACTGACGGTTCTGACGGAAACTTGATCGGCGGATTTGACGATGCTGAAGTTTCCCCGGTAGCGTTCTACGACGCCTGCAGAAAATCGAGTTTCAGTTGACAGAACCGGGGGCTCGATGCTCAACGATCAGAGACTTGGACATAACGGCATCGAAAAAATCCGGATTCGAAGCCCAGGCCACCCAAATCAGGGATGTGGAGTGGCTGGCTGACGACGGCCGGTGGGACAGAAACGGATCATATCAGTCTTCCATGGTGGTATACCGTCCGATTTGAAACCTATTGAACTCTAAAATTACCATGACAAAGCTCCCGACCACAGTGAGTCACCGCGACGGTAAAAGGAGGCATAAGGGAAAAAAACAGCGGAAGCATTTGCAATTTCCGCAAGCGAAAACTCTTGGTGAATGCGAAAGTCAGCGAGTTGAGTTGAGTCAGTGAGTTGAGGGCTTTTAGAACTTGACTAGGTCATATGTGGTTATGTAGCTGCGCCTGGGGTAAACAAATCTCAGCCACTTCTAATACGTGACCGGTGGTAATAGGGATTTTTGCAGGTGGGGTCGGGGGCCGCACAGGTGACGAGGTCAAGTAATTGTATGCAAAAGGAAAGCTATTGCGAGTGCGCGGTTGTACTTTGAGTGGTTGTGAAATAGTTGGTCTAACCCCCTAACCCCAACTCCCAACCCTAACCCCCTAACCGCAGTCCTAAATCCTAAACCTGAAGCAGCCAATGCGAAACTTAGAAGGAGACGACAGGCCAAAGGCGAAGAAGAACCATTGGCATTGGGCCAAAAATGTAGACACGACAACAAAGGAACAAGGCCGCCAACAGAACGCACACCGCAACGCACAGCACCACAATGCCAGCGTAATCATACCAACTCAAAATAATTAAGTCGGTCAACAGTGTTTTGCTTATAAGGTGCGGCTACATAATCACATCCTACCAATCTAAGCTTTCGGAACCAAACAATTAACCCAACCGTCCACAGATTCGTACGCCAAAGTAATTTCCTACGACAGTTACCGGTTGCTTGTCGTCGGTTCTTCGTCCATTCGAGCGGCCTTTCTTCTGTAGTCAAGGAGTGGATGTGGGCAGTCCATACGACAGCTGCATGGACGCAGACTTGCGCGCTAGGCTTCCAAGCCAGCATTTCCAAAGATGCCAGGCTTCCCGGATGCTCTCCCACGGAAAGGCTTATAGGAGCCCGACTTCCCGGTCAGATTCTGCCTACTCGGTCTCCCACAGCAAACCCGTTAATGCCCTTCCAACTGGGCGAATTTCCATCGTCCTGTATCACGTCTTATTTTGCGGCCATAACGTTCCCGCGAGCAGTATTTCTTCGTAATGTACCCTGTTCTTAGTGGCATACAGATTCCCACCACACCGATCCGAACCTTTTAGCACTTATTCTCATTGAACATGTCGACCAGTGACTTAGTTTGTTGTGAGGGACTTACTGCTTTCTGCTCATCTGCACAGGTGTGAAAAAACTCGGCGGTCTGTGTGGGATTCGAACCCAGGACATCAAGGACAAGGCTTGAGTACAGCCAATCACATCTGGGTCAAGTTACTCGCCCAACGCACCATAATTTATGGGATCGGTTAAATATGATACATTGCCTTGTTTAATCTCCGAGGAAATTAATGCGCGAACTTTGAGTAAATTCTTCAGAACAGACCTTTTCAGGCAAGGTCTAAAAGCCGGTTGAAATCCATCATCTACTGCGGAGTAACAGCCAAATATTCACAAACCGCCAACAGGCAGCCAGTAGTATAAAACCGTGTAATTATTTTCCATACTGACAAGAAACTTATTTCCAAAACTGGATTTCCTGGGCAAACAGTCTAGTATTCCACGCTGTCATGGGCTTGAATCCCACCGATGTCGCCAAACTGTCACGTAATTAATTTATTGAAAATGATAGCCATCTAGTGGATTCTTGATTGATTACTTAAGAAATCCTGATTGGGCAGTAAGTTTACTGTATCCTATTTGGTGGATCTCGTAATTTGCCGTAGGCTGCGTGGGTAACTTGACACTAATGGGATTAAATTCACGGCTTCGATGGGACCTAGTAGCTCAGGTGGTTAGAGCGCTGGCTGTACTCAAGCCTTTTTTCTTTCTGTCATGGGCTCGAATCCCATTTAGGCCACCTATTTTTCCACAACTGAGTCAAATGGATTATTCGCTTCTGCCAGGAATTATTCCCCGTAAATTATGTGACCTTGCACTAAATGACACGAAAGGCATCTCTTCCCTAACCCCAGCCTTAACGCTAGCCCAGCCCCCAAATCAACCCAAGCCCTACTTTAACCCATCGCGCGGGTGTGATTTCAGGTGGGAATCGGGGTTTTCGTCTGAGACAGTCCACTGAGGTTATTACTTCCAGGCTTTGGTGGAGAGCAGTCAATGTTCGGAATTGCCCTCTGACAACGACTGGGCGGACCACAGGGGCCCACTACTGATTCCTTCGTCCCCGTCTGATAAGTCTGTCCCAGCGAAAGTGCGAGACGGAAACATTGAATCTCAGCTCACCCCTGTGTCCTGCTAACTCCGACCCCTGCCACGCAAGCTCACATGTCCCCGACTACGCGACTGTCCAGATGGCCCATTCATCATGACGTTTAAGCTAAAGGATTCCCTGATAACACCCAGGCCTTAACTCTCTCTGGCAACTTGGTGTCACATTGTGCATGTGCGGCACAGAGTACAAGCGTCTAATTAATCCCCATCTGTGGACACATTTAAGGGGAAGCTTGACCAATGCAGGGATATGTACCACCACACCATCAGGAACTAGCAAATGTCTCCCCTTCTATCATCCCCAGTAAATGTATACGTTACCAATCATACTACTTACTACGTTTCAGTACCGCTATTTTATAACTGTTTCGCTAAAGGCCCCCATCGCATGACAGCGTGTGATCCAATGAATTCCGACTGAGGTTTGAGTGTTCGCTCCCGTACAGTTTTGACGCACCATGCATCCATTGACACACTAGCATTTGCCAGACAATTACACGCTTGTTGCGTGTAATTATTGAACCAATCCCATTCCCAACTTTCTTTATGTATAGCTGTTTATCTGCGATATTATTGTAACCAATAGGGAATTCAAAGACGCTCGCCTACATTTCCCTTGATAACACTATACTGAACTTAACTGCTGACCTTACACGAACACTGTTCCGGCATATCGGTATTTCAGTCTAACATTTGGGCTATTCAAATTGACCAAATGTACAGTATTTGTGCTGACTCATGAAATGTTAACCGAAATTCCGAAATGCGTTTTCGTTTCGAAAAGATTAACTAGTAGGGTTGTAAAATTGATCATCGTGTAACATAATCCTATAATAATTCACTTACCTCGAGATGCCGGCTTTCGTACGAACTTCATTCCCACCGCATGCAAAACCATACTTTGTAAAAAAATAACTACGTAATTAGCATGAATTTTTCTCATTCATTTCCAAGGCCCTTAAAAATTCAGTTATATTTCATGACAACCATACGTAAAATATTCATTCTTTTGCTCATTCGGTAGAAAGGTTCTTTAATACCGCGGAATGCCCATTCATAAAACATCGTGACTCCGCATTTGCTAATGTGGCTTGCAAATGTAACAATATGGCTCAAATCCACTGCTTAATTTTATGAACCCCATACGGTCTCCTCTTAATACCGTGGAGAAATGTTCGGTTTTCCATGCGCGGAAAATATATGGCTTGTAGTTTGGAAACCCTGAGTACAAGTGTAACGGCAGGTCGGATTCAAAATTATTCGGGAACTGAAAAAGTTTTTGAAAAACTAATTATACCTTTCCTTCGAGTATAAAATTGACAGAAGACGTCCCTTTCTACCGAATAAGCAAAAAATGAATAGTTTTATGTATGTTTTCCTTGAAATATAATTGAATTTTTAAGGGCACCGAAAATCAATGAGAAAACTTCATGCTAGTAACGTAGTTATTTTTTACAGAGTGTGGTTTTTCATGCGACCGGAAAGAAGATTGTCCGAAAGCCGGCATCTCGAGGTAACAGAATTATCATAGAATTTCTGCGAAAATTCTCATATTACGATTGAAAGGTCAGTTGGCGAACATACGTTTTCGGTAACTCATCATCAGGCCGATCTATTTACATGACTAATGATCATTCTAATTGTAGACAGGATGTAAATGCGTCTCAGGGGCAGAATTAATCGGACTCAATGTTGCCACGCCACCGGCATTACGGAGTCAGCGTGTTGAGGACGGTGGAGTTGGGGTGGGAGAGGGGGAAGGAGAGGGTTTCCGGTTAGATTGTAAGCGCTGTGAGTGCGTGTGACTGCTCTCAGGGCGTCGGGATGGCGTACGATCACCGCCTGGAGTCGGCCAGGGAAGACAGACTGCTTGTGTCAGCGTCTTCTGACCACAGGGTTCTGGGTTCGCTGGTCGAATGACCACTGTTTCGGCTGTGGATGGCACCCGCTTGCGAAGGCAGACCGGCTGCCGTTACAGGCCCCATCTATGTGTATTTATTCATTCACCTGCTCCTGTGGAGCGGGATATATTAGCCCTTCAACGAGGCGTCTGGAAAAGCAAGTACGCGAACACATGCCTGTCTGACTCGGTAGAGGTGAAACTCGACCGATTGCGAGCTCAATTCTTGCACATCCAATTGATACGAACCACCAAGTCGACGCTAAAGAAGCCTTTAAAGTTATCTACCGGGCACCGGCACACTACTCTAAAGACCTACGCAAACGTATGCCATTCACAGCCAAAGCAGTGGTCATTCGACCAGCGAACCCAGAACCCTGTTGTCAGAAGAAGCTGACACAAACAGTCTGTCTTCCCTGGCCGACTCCAGGCGGTGATCGTACGCCGTCCAGACGCCCTGAAAGCAGTCACGCGCACTTACAACGCTTACAATCTAACTGGAAACCCTTCCCCCCCTCCCACCCCAACTCCACCGTCCCCAACATGCATACGGCGTGGGAACATGGAGTCTGATTAACCCTGCCCCTGAGACGCATTTACATCCTGTCTACAATTAGAATGATCATTATCCATGCAAATGTATGGGTCTGATGATGAGTTAGCGAAAACATATTATAGAAGTATGCTGCACGATGATTAATTTTACAACCCTACTTAGTTAATCTTTTCAAAACGAAAGCGCATTTTAGAATTTCGGTTAATTTTTCATGAGATCGGTCACTCCTACCACAGGTATTCATTAAAAAACGTAGACACGAAGGCTGTATGAAAGATGCCCAACTGCAAAGGAGAAGGAGGACTGCTTGTAAAAGTGCTATGTGACTTACTGGCATAAAAGAGTTTCTTGCCTGTCTTTAGTCGTTTGCTGTAGATGCACTCCACGTACTGCTCCAGGGTGTCCTCTTGTACGTAGGCCTCATCTCCACTTCCAACTACCTTCCACGAGGACTCGGTGGTGTTGTACGTGTAAAGAACGGCGTCTAACTCAATCGAAAACTTCGACTTGGTAAGAGCGGATTTGCCCTTCGCTTGACAGTGCACAATGGTCCCCGTAAGCTCAAACGTTCTTCCGCTCCCGGAAGTGATGTAGAAGTTCGCTAGACCGGAAGGAATACAGCTTAAGTCATAGTCTACTCGTTCACAGGAGCAGTTAACTCGGTATGGTAGAACTCACGGACGAGGATTATTCGAAGTATCCTCTGCGGATTATTGGCAGCGATTTTGCCTTCTTTTACTATACACACATACTCAATTCGTTTCTCAAATGGCGGTTGACGAAGTATGAGTAGGTCATATTCGACTGTTTGGTAATCACTGGGATGACAGTTAAGGCACTTCCATTCAAGCACTGCATCAAAGCTACTGTATGAACACTTGTATGTCGTTTCCGGTAGGGCGTATGACTCCTGAGCAGGGTGGGCCAGAAACGTTGGGAAAACTTGCTCAATTCTTAGGTCTTCAGGCCCTAAAAAATGAAAAAAAATAACTCCAGATGCAGAAAAGCGCTGAAATCCCATCGCCTTGCGTTGGTTTAGCCTCAGCCAGGTAAGAGAAACACTTGTGACAAAAACAAAAGAAATCATTACGCCGGCCGTTTAACTGCAGGTGTGTTGCCGTCAGTAATAAGAGTGCTTTTATTGAACTTTTTTGGGGGGGGATTGATGTTCATGAGACAATTTGGCGAGCATACATTTGCTTTCGACAACTTCTCTTCAGGCCTGTACATTTATGTTGCTATTGGGATGATTAAGTTGAAAACGCGGGAAAATAGAAGCTATTATGCAGCTGGGGTTTTGGGGAGAGGGTGGGTGTAGTGAAAAACAAAATTAGCGTCCGTTTCAGGGGGGAGTCGGATGGTGGGCACTAGGACGGGTAATTAAATGCGGATGGCTGATTTAGTGGCTGTGGCCCATGGTAACCGTGGAGTCCGTACGAAGTTCTTCTAAGCGCATAGGACTGGCTTGTGTAGCCTGATTGTAGCCGCCTCTGCGGCTACCAACAGACGCTGTCCAGGTGATTTTGGATGGCTTGGCGGGACCTTGTAAATCACCCAGAAGGCCTGTCCCACATCAACACCATGATTTGTGTCTATCATGTGCGCGAGGATACAGTTGCTTACGTCCTTCATTTGGGTCTTTCCTAGCCATACTGGAAGGTTTTTTCTCATTCTTTTGTACAAACGTCAGCTAGTGTTTTCCATGCTGTCATGCAGCAATCAGTGTTTTTGGATGCACCAAATCCACTAAGCAGTAGACATTTTGGAAATTCTGCGAATTCGCAAAGTGCCTTTTTGATGTAATGTTCGGAGTTTTTAGGATATATGCAAACAACAGAGACTACTGCTGTCATATGCTGTCATATGTTCACAACTTTACAACTGCACATAAGCAATAAAGCAGTTTTAAACATCCCAAGCTGGGCCCTTCATCCTGTGGCGACTTGTGTCAAGCACCGTTTTTGTAACAACAGCGATTCTAACGTATTTTTGGATGCGTACAGTGGGTGACCGATCTCATGAAAGATTGGCTGAAATTCTAAAATGCGTTTTCGATTAGGAAGGATTACTTGGTCGCGGTTGTAATACTGATTATCTTGTGACATACTCTTATAACATTTCGGACTCGGCAAAATGTCGGATTTTAAATGCACTTCTTTTCAATCTCCTGTAGAAGGCGTACTTCGTAAAAAATGACTACTTAAGTAGCATACATTTTTCCCATTGATTTTCGATGGTCTTGGAAATTCAAATATATTTAATAGAAACCATAAACAAAAATATGCTTTCTTTTAATCAATCAATAGAAAATCACGTCTTCTTTATATTTTATTCTTAAGAAAGGAGTATAATCAGGTGTAAAAAAAGTTTTTTAATTGCCGAATAATTTGGAGCCTGATCATTCGATGCATTAGCGCTTAGTGATTACACTCTACAAGGTGCATGCGTTCCGCGTAAAGAAAATCACATATTTTTCTATGCCATTAAAGAGATATCATACAGAGTCCATAAAATTTTGCAATGGATGCGGACCATGTTGTTCATTTCATGAGAAGCAGTGGTAAACGGCCAGGTACGATGCTATGTGAATTGACATTTCGCGGTCTTAAAAAGTCCCATAATTAGAAACTTTTTTGAAACCTAATTATACTCCTTCCTTAAGTATAAAATATAAAGAAGACGTGATTCTCTATTGAGTGACTAAAAGAAAGCATATTTTTATTCATGGTTTCTATAAAATATATTTGAATTTCCAAGACCATCGAAAATCAATGGGAAAAATGTATGCTACTTAAGTAGTCATTTTTTACGAAGTACGCCTTCTACAGGAGATTGAAAAGAAGTGCATTTAAAATCCGACATCCTGCCGAGTCTGAAATGTTATAAGGGTATGCCACAAGTTAATCAATATTACAACCGCGACCAAGTAATCCTTCATAATCGAAAACGCACTTTAGAATTTCAGCCAACATTTCACGAAATAGGTCACTCACATGAGCAATAAAGCAGTTTTAAACATCCCAAGCTGGGCCCCACATCCTGTGGCGACTTGTGTCAAGCCCCGTTTTTGTAACAACAGCGATTCTAACGTATTTTTGGATGCGTATGCTACATTCTCTGTCTAAGTAAACAGGTAATATTGTCGTGCATCATCATTAGCTCCATACTGCCGATAGGCTTCCATGTCTGCAGTATGGTGCAACGATATTTAATTTTTATATAAAGAAGGCGAATTTTGCATCAAGGATGGCAGTAGGGTATGGATCTTAGGTTCGTTTTGCTGAGCACTAGTAAGTCACTGAGAATATTTGTTCGACTGATGTGTGAGTCAGGAAATGACAGAAACTGACTACGCCGTTATTCTGCGTTTGCTGTATTTATGTCGATTTTCTCCTCGCGGTCAGTTGATGTTCATCCCAAAGGGAGCGTGTTACCATGGATTTGGCCAGAAAAATGAGCCGAGGCTTTGGTGCCTCGACAAAATATACAGGGCATTTGAAGCCCCTTTGTGAGACGGTGGTGGTGGTGGTGGTGGTGGTGGTGGTGGCGGCGGCGGCAGCGGCGGCAGCGGCGGCGGCGGCGGCGGCGATATTGCTGTAAATCCAAACAAAAGGCTGGTCATGTAACGGCCCTACGCCGGGCGCCTGTTGCGACGCAGCGCTTTTTCCGATGGCAGTCTGATTCTCGGCCAGTCACGTCTCTCCAAACCGGCCAATCATCTGGTGTGCTCTCGCTCAAGACGCTGTGACGCATTGCCCAATCACTTGGGGCCAGGGACGGTCTCACAAGGTTGGACTTGTTCCTGTGCAGCTGCCAACTTACGCCAATCGGCTCTCCAACCTTTCTGTACAGAATGGAGAATCCTCTTAACTGACATCCAGCACCTTCTCCTTCTAATCGGGAGGTCGTGGAGACCGGGGCATCCTTATGGCTTTAGGTGTTGAGTAGGTATCATCCTGCCCAGTAAAAGGGGAATGCGGCAGATACGCTGGACCAACACAGGGGCTAGACGAGAAGCTGGCAGGCGTTATCGAGAATGCACGCCCATAACAGGTGTCAACATTGGGGTGTGATGGCACTCCCAGTTGCCGACTCACTCCGCGCCAGCTGGGATTCGTGCCACCCCTCTGTTTTTCTTAGTGTATAAGGTCCTAGTCAAGTGTCTGTTGTGGAAAAGAGAGTGTGATGGCGCAGCTAGGTGCGAATTTTCACCCTGCCGGCCGCCTGCGGCTTCTCCTGTCTCCGGCCATCGCTTGAATGCTGAATCGGTAGACGCCTCATCAGTCAATGTCAACATCCTTTTAGTGTTGTCGCACTAAGGGGCTTGTTTGCAGTGTCGTCGGCCACAGTCTCGGACTATTCCAGACTCCGACACTAATCCGCTAATAACAGCAAGGTAGCCTTTGAATCAGGTCTTTGGACTTCTAGCAGAAGATTTCTTCATTGCATTGACCGTCAGTTCAGGTTGATGACAAAGACGAAGGTCAACGGACACGTGGCTCAGTGGTTAGGGGCGTGGACTTCTTTAAAACAGGTTGCGAGTTCGAGCCTCGGGTGTGCCACACTTGGGGGTTGGGCATGACTGGCTGACGACGGTTAATAAGCCAGAAATGGCCATTTCAGTCTCCCTCCCTTGTCTTTGTCCGTAATATCATTCTGCCTATATCATGCGCCGCTGTGCGGCTGCTGGTTGGGCTCGAGAGAGAGCCCAGGTGAGCGCCCCCTATCAGATTTGTTGATAAAGTGTCCTTTCAATAGTAATTTAGCTAGTCGGTAAAGGACCAGTTCTCACACAGGGAGTACAAGCACCGCTAATTATGAGAGGGTGATCGGACAGCTGATCCTCAGGAAGGATCGCGTAGATCACTGCAATAACAAATAAAATGTGACCCAACCTCCAGGATGTGCCTATGCCCAAGTCCTGAGTGAGGGATTCGGACTTTGGATAAGCAAAAGACTTCATACTTTAGAAATGAAGATTGTACATTCAGATCTTGCATGCCAGCATCCCCACATATCATGGTACGCTACCGACTGACTAGTTAAACTGGCAAGTTAGTCGCCTGCACCATTCGACGGAGGTTGCAGGACGCGTCACTTCCTGCGGACGTCATAACCTGAGTTGTACTACTAAAATAGAGCACTTTGTCGGGAATATTTAGCGCGGGCGTTTCTGCAGCCCTCTTCAGGTATTCTCCCTAGTCGAAAGGCAGTTGGAGCAGGACTGATCCCGGTAGCCATCTCGTCGTTGAACACTCAGCATGTCAGTCCCCTAATACATTGAGTACCCTAACTCATGAAATGTAAGCTGAAATTCTGAAGTGCGTTTTCGATTATGAAGGATTACTTGGTCGCGGTTGTAATATTGATTAACTTGTGGCATACCCTTATAACATTTCGGACTTGGCAGGATGTCGGCTTTTAAATGCACTTCTTTTTAATCTCCTGTAGAAAGCGTGCTCGATAAAAAATGACTACTTAAGTAGCATGCATTTTTCCCATTGATTTTCGATGGTCTTGCAAATTCAAAGATATTTTATAGAATCCATAAATAACAATATGCTTTCCTTTAGTCAATCAATAGAGAATCATGTCTTGTTCATATTTCATACTTAAGAAAGGAGTATAATTAGGTTATAAAAACGTTTCTAACTATGGGACTTTTTAAGATCGCGAAATGTCAATTCACATAGCATCATACCTGGCCGTTTACCACTGCTTCTCATGAAATGAACAACATGGTCCGCATCCATTGCAACATTTTATGGACTCTATATGATATCTCTTTAATGGCATAGAAAAATATGTGATTTTCTTTACGCGGAACATATGCACCTTGCAGACTGAAATTACTAAGCGCTAATGCAACGAATGATCAGCCTCCAAATTATTCGGCAATTGGAAAACTTTTTTGAAACCTAATTATACTCCTTTCTTAAGTATAAAATATAAAGAAGACGTGATTCTCTATTGATTGACTAAAAGAAAGCATATTGTTATTTATGGTTTCTATAAAATATCTTTGAATTTGCAAGACCATCGAAAATCAATGGGAAAAATGCATGCTACTTAAGTAGTCATTTTTTACGAAGTACGCCTTCTACAGGAGATTGAAAAGAAGTGCATTTAAAAGACGACATCCTATCCAGTCCGAAATGTTATAAGAGTATGCCGCAAGATAGTCAGTATTACAACCGCGACCAAGTAATCCTTCCAAATCGAAAATGCATTTCAGAATTTAAGCTAACATTTCATGAGATAGGTCACTCACTGTAACTCTGTCGCTGTTGCCTCATTCTTCAACCCGCCGAAAAACCAGCAACTAGTTGGGCTAATAAACCCATATAATTTGGACTTTTGGTGATCGAAATAGGCACTTTGCTCTAAAACCACGCAATGGGCACCCCCGAAATCGAACGCTGTTGACTCCTCTGACACATCTGAACCCATCTGCATTCCGTATAAATATACACCTTGCTATAGCTATGGGGATGATGGTTAATAGGCATACCCGAACTCAATTACATATGCATGATTCCGTCGACAGACTCATTCCAAGACCTCCGATGCGCAGGGGTAGGTAGTTTTTGCACAAATACAAGACCAAAGAACTCCAAGGACCAGCTGATTAAAAGCGCCTGATTTGAAGGCTCTACAACTTGCATTCCTGAACGACATTCAGGTCCCGCTTGTGTGTACTCATTACCCACTCATTGAGATATGTCCAGAATCAACAAGAATAATCAGGAAGAATGGAGGAGGGGCCGGACTGTCCTTGGTTGGGACTTAGTGCCAGTTTCTCTGATTCCTGATGATATACTTCCCTACTCCCCCCCCCCCTACCCCACAAACTCCGACCTGCACAGCATCGTTTTCACTCGCTCCCTCTGTGATACTGTCTTAAGTGGACGCTTTTCACCTTGAAGTCTGGGCTTCCCTTATCTTTTTAACGAAATTAGCATTTGCATCCGTGTGGACCGAGGCTTTCGGCCTTCAACTCAGCTCTACTGTGCATCAAAATTGAACTTTCTGCAGTAAATTCTTCGGCGACGATCGGGCGCCTACTGCACCTTGCAGAAGCCGCTACAATACAGAGGATCACGTGAGCAACCTCGCACTGCTATGGTAAGGCTTGATAATGGACGAAACCCTATTCACATACCTGTCCTCTCGCTCCCCCCCCCCAGCATTACCGACCGCTGTCCTGCGCGTTGTAGTTTTAATCACAACCGACAGGTTTTCCCTCTAATCTGAATTCGTTTGCTCAGAGAACTTACCCTCCTCCGCTCCCTCGCCATACGCACCTCATATCAGACCAACAGTCCTCTGTGTCGCTCTCTAATTGGACAGTTTATCTGGTCCTTTAAGTGCACAATGACCGTATTCAGCTGAATAAGAGGTCGTGGAATTCTGTGATGCATACTTCGTCACCTTTGGTCTGCATACGATGTGCCGAGCCTTTGAGTCTCAAGGGAATTACCGCATAATATTCACAATCTGTCACCGGACAGGCGGCAGTATTAGAAATATTGACCGATTTTCTGGGCTTCCAACACCAATACTAGCAGGTACCCGTGCTGGTAGTATGGCAAGACAGCCAATATTATCACAGGGCACATTTTTTCCCATGAAACAACTTACTGCCTCGGGTGATGTAACGGGGGTGAGTGAAGGTGCCGCTTGTTTCGCAGAATGCAATGAATACTTGCAGATCCGGTCGAAATTCATCAGTCGGCATTGAATCCGTCATGTTGTACCAAATGGCAGGAAATCGGCGAAGAACCTCGGAGATGTGTAATGTTGACTCATACATGTGGAATTCAGACCCCACTGTAACTTTTGCAATGTACAGCGGCGTGAAAAAATCATCGTACTGCTTGGCATCACACACAATATGTTCTCCGGGTGCGTAGGTGGTTTGGTCGGGCAGGAGGCGAGTCGGAAGGTCATCTGTTACGGGAGGCAGTTAAGATGACAGAGAAGATGTTGTTAGCGAGATATTGCCTTGTTGATTTTGCTTGTTGAATTGAGTTGAGGCGCAGAGGGTCTTTTGCTAAAGAAGAATTCCTTTAAAATTTGCTTTATGGGAAGGAAACTGGCCAATTTGGAACGAATATGAACGTTTTCTAATGTCCAACTAGTCTGATTTGCAATTACATATCGCAGGCTAAAACCCCCTACTTTTGCGCTTTTTGCAATGAAATAACATTAATATAAACAAGGAACGTTTCAAACAAATCCCGGTTTGAACAGAAAATCAGGTTTTATGCCCATGAAAATCAGATGTTCACTCCCAATCACTGAATCGCACAAATAATCCTCGGGTTTGTCTAAATACGGCAGTTGCAGCTTACCTCTCCCACTCCTGATGGATTAAAGCCCACAAAACTGTGTGCATCACAAGCTGACACAAGTGTAGATCTGCTAATCCCGCACCCCCCCTCCCCTCCCCCCTTTTAACCACTGTTCTGTTGTCACACTCCGGGGCGGCCGGGCAATTCCTATCATCATCAACCAGCCAGAATAGCGACACGAAAATAGTTCGACAAGGGGGAGGGGTGATTTTTCATCACGTTCAGCCTTCTGGGAAGACGGGTTGCCCGTTAGCCTAGCTGCTGGCTACCCGGCGCGTCCACAGGTGGCGAATAGTGGGACGACCTTCAGTGAAGGTCAGCTGAAAAATATGCAGACCCAGATCTGACGAATAAGCAGTCGCGGACCAGCAGTGACATTGCTACCAGGGTGTGGTGGGCTGAGGTCTGGCACTCTGAAAGCCTTATAAAAATCCGCAAAACCCAATGACGGCATTATGACGTGGCGACCGTAAACCGCCATTAAATAAGTTTACTTGCCACCGCTGCCTTGTGGTTAGGCTTTCAAGCCAAAGCGCCAGAGGAGACGACCTCGAACAAACAATCCGAGCGGCTGTTGGGGACCCACTCGTATTCGAAATTCCCAAGAAACCACATGAAATATGTCAGATCACAGTATCATGACACATGCTACGGCGTCCGCGAGAACCGACGCGCTCCGTGACCCTGGTCCAGTGGTGCAGGCGAATAGTATGCGAGCTAGACTACTCAATCGGGGACGGCCTCTCGGTATTGGATGTTGGAATGTGCGAACGTTCCTGGACCCCGGTACCCAAAGTCTGACCGCACGCTGCCTTTATCAGTACAACGTGAATGTCTGCTGTCTGTCTGAAGTTCGACTCCCTGATTCAGGCTCCAGAGAAATGAAGATCCCTGGAGTCGAATCCCACTTTGCTCTGTACCACAACGGCCCGCGCGATTCTTCTTGTCGACACGGTGTGGCGATCGCCCTATCGCAACAAGCGGACCTCGCGCTACTTGCTTGGGAATCAGTCAATGACCGGATGGCCTACGTGCGACTGAAGGGTCACTTCACGAACATCTCAATCGTCTGTGTGTACGCACCACCTTCGGCTGCCGAACAGCGCGATGAAGAGGCGTTTTACTCTCAGTTGCAAGCGCTAGTTGAAAGACTGCCTCGCCGCGATCTGCTGATTGTTGCTGGTGATTGGAATGGTCGCACTGGACCTGGCGACCCCACAACCAGTCATCTTCTTGGTCGCTTTGGACTTGGCTCCCGTTGTGAAAATGGTGAGAGATTGCTGAACTTCGCTGATCGAAACCGACTGCTTGTCACTAACATATGTTTCCAGCATCGCAAAAAACATCTGCTGACCTGGTATTCAAACGACGGTCATACGACTAGTCAGATTGACTACATACTAGTCAGCTCAAGGTTCTGCAGCTGGATTCACGATAGCAGATCGATGCGTGGTGCCGAGACTGGCATGGGTCGGACCATGTCCCCGTCCGTACACGCTTGAAAATTCATCTCTCATCCGCGCCAAAAATGCCACGTCCTAGACGCTTCGATGTCGCAAAAACTCGGCAAGCCAGCACTGCCGAGGCCCTAAGCAGAGAAATCCGGACCTGTTTTACGATCCGAGCCGACGGAGAAGTCATTAACCTGTGGTCGTCACTGAAGACTTCAGTCTATGGGGCTGCTGAGAAAATCCTTGGATACACCCAGCGACGCCGCAGTGACTGTATCAGCGGAAGAACCCTGTAGTTTTCTGCTCAGACGGCTAGAGCTAGGTCCCGCAACGATGAATACTTCCGCCAACTTAGGAAGATGACGGCACAATCGGCCAGGGATGCCCGGAAGCAATATTGGGCTGAAATGGCGACCTCCATGGAACAGGCCTCGAACGTTGGTGACACTCGAAAGTTCTAGCGTCTGATCCGCCAAGTTAGCGGTAAGCCCTCTACACTGAGAGACTAAGTTCGCGACGTGAACGGCGGCTTTATTGCTGGCAACTCGGCCAAAGTCGAGCGCTGGCATGAGCACTTTGAGCACCATTTCAACTTCGATACCCAGCCTACCTCGCCCTTGCTCTCCTCTTCAGCAGAATTTCTTCTCTCTCCTACCTATGCAGTGTCGTGCGACCCCCCCCCCTCTGAAGGAGAAGTCGCCGATGCCATACGAAAGTTGCTCAACAATAAGACACCCCGAGAGGACGGTATACCCGCTGAAATCTTCAAGTCTTGTGTCGACACTCTGACGCCCTGGCTCCATGAGGTGATTGAACGAGCGTGGAGAGACGAGGTTGTTCCTGATGACTGGGGCCTAGGCATCCTTGTACCTATCCTCAAGAAGGGAGATAAGTCGAGATGCCAGAACCAACGCGGCATAAATCTCATCGACGTTGCTGCGAAGATCTTCGCTACTATCCTACTCAGGCGATTCCAGGCTGTGCGTGACTCAAGGACGAGGCCCAACCAAGCCGGATTTCGTGCTGGACGTGGATGCGTAGACTAGATATTTACACTGAGGCGCATTCTCGAATTTCGCCATAGCTGCCAACAACCGACGGCCGTCTGTTTCATTGACTTTGCCGCCGCGTTCGATTCCGTTCACCATGAGTTCTTGTGGCGGATAATGGCGCTAGATGGTGTACTGACAAAAATAATCGCCATGATCAAGACCTATTATCTCTCCACTACTGCCAGAGTCCTGGTCCGCAACAATCTTTCCCAACCGTTCGGTATTCGGTCTGGCGTTCGACAGGGTTGTATCCTGTCACCCATACTGTTCAATTACGCTATTGACTGGATCCTCGGGAAGGCCCTACGCGACAGTGACGGCGTTGCTTTTGTATCCGGACATCGGCTGACTGAACTCGACTATGCCGATGATATCGCCTTACTTGCTTCAAGTTTTGGTGATCTGCAGTTTATGGTGTCACGGGTGAACGAGGTCGCTAAATCAGTCAGTTTATCCATAAACGATGGGAAGACCAAAGTGTTTTCAAGCTGCATCTCTGACCAGGAGAAGGCACCTTTCGCGATCGATGGCTGTCAACTTGAAGAAGTAGACAGTTTTAAATACCTCGGGGCGAGGCTGCTGCCTAATGGACAGAGTAGGGGCGACATTGTCTCCCGAATCGATGCTGCCCGACGGGTTTCCTTAAGCCTTCGGAAATGCCTATGGAGCGACGTGACCTCTCCATCGTCACTAAGATTCGCGTGTACCGTACATCTGTCCGGTCTGTCCTTCTCTACGGTTGTGAATGCTGGGCTGTGCGCGTGGAGGACGACCGAAAACTGGAGGTATTCGACCATCACTGCTTGAGGACCATCATTCGAATGAAGTTCACCGACTTCGTCTCAAATAACACAGTCTGCGGTCGCTGCGACAACATCGTAAGGAAAACCCGGACCATCCAAGAAGGGCGACTGAGGTGATTTGGGCATTTTCTTTGTCGTCCACCTCAGGAGCTTAGTGATACTGCCCTCGATCCGGCACCGTTACCCCAGTGGAGGCGTCGAAGAGGGGGTCAACTCAAAACCTGGTTCGACACAGATCACCAAGACATGGAGATGGTTCTTGGACCTTCGATATTCGGTCTCCGTTGTTGGCGAGGGAATAGATTGAGCTGTCCAGACCTGTTGCCGCGGATCGTCAAGCGTGGGAAGGTACAGTTCGGGATATCATCGAGGCCGGCTAGATCAGGCATGATCGCATCCGTATCAAGTACAAGCAAGTACAAGTAAGTTCAGACTTCGGCAACGACAGAAGTTCAAAAAATCCGGTCGATTAGAAGGAATATATATATATGAGATGGGGCCGACAAAGACAAGGGAGACCGGAATGGCCAGTTCTGGCTTATTAGCCGTCATCAGCCAGTCATACCCAACCCCAAGTGTGGATCACTTGAGATTCGAACCCGGGCTCTTTGGTCATGGAGTTTGACGCTCTACCATTGAGCCACGAGCCCGTTGTCCTGTCGGTTGTGATCGGGAATATTAATTAATTAATATTGAGTGATCCACACTTGGGGTTGGGTATGACTGGCTGATGACGGCTAATAAGCCAGAAATGGCCATTCCGGTCTCCCTTGTCTTTGTCGGTACCATCTCATCTATATCTACTACTAGTCGCTGTGCGACTGCCTGCGAGGGTTCTAGTATGAGCCCCAAGGCACAACGGAACGAGCATGTTCCGTAACCTGATCGGTGAGTGCCCACTATCATAATTAATATTCCCGATCACAACCGACAGGACAGCGGGCCCGTGGCTCAATGGTAGAGCGTCAAACTCCATGACCAAAGATCCCGGGTTCGAATCTCAAGTGATCCACACTTGGGGTTGGGTATGACTGGCTGATGACGGCTAATAAGCCAGAACTGGCCATTCCGGTCTCCCTTGTCTTTGTCGGTACCATTTCATATATATATATATATATATATATATATATATATATATATACATGGCTACTCCAAGGATTTTGTGCGCTGATGCATGAGACAGAAAGTGTCAAAGGAAAGGGAACAAAGAACTTCCAGTCAAGCGCCCAAGCCAAAGTCAAGGCCAACCCCCCCCCTTACATCAAAAACGTGTCTGAACTCATGGAAAGGCACCTAAAGAGGCACCAAATTCTGGTGGCACACAGACGAACGACTAAACTATGTACTCAGATAGTACACCCTAAGGATAATGTCGGCTATTTGGATAGAAAGGAAGTCGTCTACAAGATCCCATTTGAGGCCTGTGATGCAGTTTATTGTGGCCAAACAGGAAAATCCACCTGTACACGCATTCACGAACACCACCTTTCACGAGACCACCTGTCTCAAGTAGCCATGCATACCCTGGACACGGGGCATACTTTTGCTTGGGACAGAACACGGATTGTCGGTGCCTGTCCCTTCAAGAATGGCCGAAAGTTCCTTGATGCCATGCACTCGGATGAATCATGCATCAACCGTCATATCGAGTTGGACGCTGCGTACAAAAGTCTCAAGGAGAAATGGAAGAGACGAGAACCAATCGGGACGGATTGATGGAAATAGCTGCCGCTCACGGGCGCAAACGCGAACGACTATCGATTTTTTGTGTGCACTGCCAGATGTTAACAGTTGCCAGCACATTTACTCTCAGTCTGTGTCTGACGACGACCTGGGGAACCAGCGTCGAAAATTCACGCAATAAAGTGCCCTTTTCCCAAAGAACGCCTTTGCCTTCAACTTATATTTCTTGGGATGCCTACCTTCCAGCTGCTGGTGGTCAGGGTTATGATTGGCTGAATGAAGGCACAATAGGCCCGAAACAGTACTGTATCAATCTACCCGCATTCTCTGTCGTCCCTCCTCGCTGCTATTATGACTTGGCCGACGTCGGCCTGGTAATTGGTTGCCTGTTCGTGACCTTTGCCACACATACTGAGCTTGTTTGCTTTGTGAAGCCAATAGATCGGTGTGCGCCCTTTCCTGGTTGAATATATATATGTATATATATATGAATTGGAAGGCAGGCATCCCAAGGAATATGGTTTGTAGACAAACACGTTCTTTGAAAAAAATTAAGAGCCTTATTGTGTGAACTTTCGATGCTGTCGCCAGACTTTAGTAAATGTGCAAGAAACAATAAACTATCAGACGGACCGCAAAATTAATATTCATTTGGTGTTTGCGCCAGTAAGCGGCCTCCGTAGCGTCATTCCGCATAACTTGGTTCCCGTCTATTCCACTTTCCCCTGAGATTTCTGCACATGACATCTAACTCAATGTGCTGGCTGATTCATGGTTCATCAGAGTGCAGGGCTTTTGAGGGGTAAACCCCGACGATGCGAGTTTTGTTTCATGCTAAGGTGTGCCCAGTACCAAAGATGTGCATGGCCATCTGCGAAAGGTGGTCTCGCCTCTTAACTGCTAGTTTATGTTCGTGGATGCATGTAGAGGCAGACTTTCCCGGTTAGTTACAATATACAGCACCACAGGCACCGCATGTGATTTATAGACGACCTCTTTCTTATCAAGATAGTCAACCCTACCCTCAGGTCTTCCAAGCTGTGTGCGAAAAGTAGTCGTCGGCTTGTGCGTCACTTTCATTTGGTGTTTCCTCAAGTGTCCTTCAACATGTTCAGATGCATACCTTATGTAAGGAAGGATTCGCCAAGTATTTAATCTGGGTTCTTGATTGGAACTATCTAGTTCATTTGTTTTTATCTCCTGTTGTCTCATGCATCGACGTACGAAACATCTGGGGTAGCCGTTCTGGGAAAGTAGTTCAAACAGATAATTTAGTTCAACTTGCTACCTCTTATCATCAGAGCAATGTGTTTTTGCTCGATGTAGTAGACTTTTATCAGTACTTCTTCAAGTTTCTTCCAGATTTGTGTTGAAGAACAGACCGTGATATCTGGATTGGCTGTCAGAAAGTCAAGACGTCGAAATAACCACTTTGCCAGAACGTAATTTAGAGCATCTTTTGATTGATACGATAGACCAAAAGAGCTGAACGAGTAGTTGACTGTAAAAAGCTTGTGAGGGATTGAGCTGTTGCCTAAATAGCGTAGAATTACTTCCACAAAAACGACCAACCGGCGTTCTTTGATGTCCTGGTCTGTCGCGAGGATTTTTATGACCTGAACAATGGAGGACAGGGTTGTCGTATTACAATGACCTCCCTCCTCCATATTCAGCACCCGGAAATGTTTCTGGGCAGACAAATTTGCCGTGTTTAGACGACCACTACCTCCAATGAGAGCACCCAATAGCTAACCTCTGTAGTTTTTATCACGCCGACAAAAAACCGTCAATGTGGTTCCGGCCAGTGACGACTCGGACGTGCGCAGATATGGGGTGTCTCAGCAATTGTATCCATGACTCCTGTGTGTTTGTTGTCCCTGGCAATGAGGCGTCTGGCGAATAAAATCCTTACTTCACCGATCGTCCATCCTTCTCTCCAAATGCCTCCTGGAATTGGACCTTTGGCCTGTGTCGGCATGGTGGAATTTAAATTTCCCGAACATACTGAGAATGAAAGAAGGTTTTATGGTGAGCTGTACATAGGAATAAGTGACGCCACGAGTTATGAATTTAAATATAGTCTTTCCGAGGCCCTCCGGCATCTATTCTTTGCAAAGTCCTCAGCAAGTACTTATTACATGACAGCCAGAAATGCCACATCGCAGTCGACAGTGGCTCACTGAGCATGCCTACAAAGACTAGGATGTCGTCTGGAAATCAGCAGTGATGATGATGATGATGATGATGATGATGATGATGATGATGATGATGATGATGATGATGATGATGATGATGATGATGATGATGATGATGATGATGATGATGATGATGATGATGATAAGTTTGCCGCCACATAAGTCCCCGACCGTCTTATTTACTAGAAAATACCCTCGTATGCACCCTGAGTAAGGAGTAGCACAAGCATGCACCTCTCATTTCACCTTATGGGTGTCTGAACGTGGAGGCGTATAGGGTGACTTTTCTCAACTTACACATGACTCGAAGAGGTATTGGTGGGCTCTCGAGGTTGTTCATGCTGCAGGTGAGGAAGAAGTCACGGAGAGTGGAATGCGCCCCTGGTATTGTTGTCATTAGCTTCTCACATCGCTCTTCCGTCGGTCTGCCGTCCGTGTACACCAGGCGTACACAGGCTACAACTCCATGGATGAGTTCGTAATCAGTGGAATCTGATTCCCGAAGCTTTGACCGGTATTCACAGCCAACTCTTTGATCGACCGCGTACATTTCGAGTTGGGGATAAATTTTTAGACTGAGCAAGGCTGAAATTATCATTTAAAAATGTCCTTTTTATCAGAATAGAGCGCAAAAAATTTCATTGGTTCTCGGCACCCCTATTCCCCTCTGATTGGATCTTATATCAATGGCGCAATGTGCAGTCTTCGAACATTGGCTCAGTAACCTAGCCTATCGATTTGCCATTGGTCCCCTGGTCACACTAATAACCTATCAACGTAGCTGACGCTTCCCTGTGGCAGATCCGTAGATACCTCCAAGGGGCGGCACACTGATGAATTTCCTTTCGACAACGTGCGTACGGTCCAGCTGATAGATTACATCTCAGATCATCCGGCCGGTGAGAATTTGCAGTTATTATTCTGGTGCCAAGGTGTGATCAGGGTCATGATTGGCTAAGTAAAGACAGAACAAGTCAGAGTCAGTAGCTGTCACACACGGCATAACGTGCCGGGGTCCGACCCTTTCAGGAAGTCCCTTGGCTGGGTACAGAAATACTGGGAAGCCCGAGAAGGCAGAGAAAAGACCTGAGGGGGTGATGGCACAACCGGGGGACGTGATAAGTCATCTTGGAGGAACTGAGCTATGAGCAGCGCGCATCTTGTCACCCAATCAGCTGAAAGTCGAACACTGATGACATGAAAGGGTCGTAACGAAGCGTGACCACATATCGGCATGCTTGGTGTGCTACCTTGATCGCAATCCGTCAAAGTACGCCAGCACACAAAGGACAATATCGAGGCTGCACATCTACTTCATACTGAGTAGCCAGAGGTTGAGAGGACTTCACTGCTTCCTGTTAGAATTTTAAGGCTCCAAAGCAGAAATCTAGGGAACCAGAAACCCGTCTAGTATGGCAGTATGAAAGTGGACAACTTACAGGCGATTTTGTATTTCACCGTTATGGACACCAGTCTTTTACCGACATAGCCCACGCAGGCGTATGTGGTAGTCCTTGGTGTCTTGACCGTTTCAGGCAGTTTTCCGGCTCGAATGTACATCTTCCTGCCAACCACCTTTTGTCGCTCACCCGAGATGTACACCCAGGTAATGTTCGTCACTTGCTTGAAAATCGCCCCAATACACTTGGCTGCATCACCATCGTTGACAACAGACAGGCTGGGCGGTTTGGCTAGAAGAATATCCGTGCCTGGAGAGGGAGGATGAGAGGGAAGTTCACTTCGGGACATTGAGTTCTCATGGCTGCAGGGTTCATCTCACTATAAGCATGCAGCGGAGTACACCTGCCAACAACTCGTAGCATGACCAGCTGCTATGAACTCCTGAAAGCCTTTCTCTTAATCGAGGACTTTACTCACAGGGATTTGAGTATTCACTCCTGACTTGCTTGTCATCTGCAGACTTTACAATTTTTGACCGCTGCCTTAACCCTCACATAGAAAAGGAAAATTCGCAAATTCGGCTGGCCGCAAAACTGGTTGTGTGTTTTCCACCTTGCATGGCGATAAACTGAGCTGTCATCGGAAAGATTTGCCCAGTAACTCTAAATTTTTCGACATCTCTCCGAGGCCAAAATGGTCTAGAAAAGGGCACTACTATTTCGGAAGTAGATATTGATTACAAAATCCGCTGGAGAGAGACAGGTTTCCTGTCGCCTTATCGCCCAAAATCGTGGTTGTTTAATTGTGGTATCTATTTCGGATAGGTCTTGCTCTAATTCGTTTGCAACGCGTTTTCATGAGGCTTTCGATGCAGGTATGTCAGCATGATTTGAAATTGAATTGGATGCTTACGATATCGCATCGGTGGGCTGAAAACTGCTCAACTAGTATTACTCCTATTGCTACTGATACCACTATCCCTAGTACTGTATTCTTAAATTGCTACGTCAACTGGATTTTGGACGATCCGTTTCGGGAAGCCACTACAGGAAACGATTCCTTTGCCAGACGCCTTGGTGATAGTCAAATTGAATGATAAAACATCAGAGAACACGCACGAGCGCGAAATAATTGAGCGATAGTTCCTACTACTACTACTACTACCACCACTACTACTACTACTAGCGTTTCTATTAATACTTATACTGCCGTTTCTACTACTCTTCCTACCACTGCTACTATTAATTTCGTTACTGACACTATCACTTGAGTAGTCAGTTCTGCTAAACTGAATATTGAATGATGTGAGTCATACCCCCATGTTATACATCCCATAACCTATCGCCCGTGGACCAGAATACTGCATGACTTGCATTGATGTTTCACAAAATCTTCTTTCACTAACTGATCAACGCAAGTTTATTCGTAGAACGCCGTTTATATTTTCTTCCCCGCAGGCGTAGACAACTTTCTCATACGCAGAATTCCGCGCACTAAAACAGCCTTTATTGTAAAGTACGTAGTCTGTTTGGCTTTTGAATGCAACTTCCTTTAAACATCACACCCGGCAATAAATGGCTATTTATAAACGCAGCATGTCCTTTTCAGATTGATTTTCGATGCTTCTTTACACTCAAACGTATTTTATTGAAAACATTCATAAAATATGCTTTCTTTTATTCAAGCGGTAAGAGATGACGTTATCTTTACAATTTATAGTCGAAAATCGGTATATTTTGGTCTCGAAAGAAATTTCTAATTCCCTAAGCATTTGAGCCGTATCAGCCGTTTAGCGACTTCAGTTTACAAGATGTATATTTTCAGTGTTAGAAAAATTATGTATTAATCTATGCCCTTTTAGAAGATCATTAATAAACGGACAAGTACGATGCTGCATGAATGCTCATTGCACGGCCTTGAAATCTCATAATTAGAAACTTTCAAAAATCAAAATGTTTTCTTTCTGAGTATAAAATACGAAGAAGACGTGATTTCCTACCAAATGGGTAAACAAAGCACATTTTTATAAATGTTTTATATAAATATTCAGATTTCTAAGGTCGTCGGATATCGATGTGAAAAATTCGTGCCACTTAAGTAGTCATTTTTGCCGAGCGCAGTTACTACAGGTCAAAAAGAAATGCATTCAAAAGCCAACACTTGACGAGTTCGAAATATTAAAGACTTAGACCGCACGATAATCAATATTGCAACCTTACCTAAGTGATTATTCCTAATTGGAACGCACTTCAAAACTTCAAATAACATTCTACGCGATCGGTCACTCACTGTAAATGCTGCAACTTCCTGTGCATGAGATACCCGTATCTGCGCGAATAAAGCTTTTGTTCCAGCGATCGCTTTTACTTCTTTCCAACGCGTATACTGGTAATATAACAATCCCGTTAGTACTGTGCTTGCTTAAGATCACTTCGAAGATAGCAAGGAAAGTAAGCACCTCTTTCCATGGTCGAGGTGAGGTTCAGCGGACAGCTGGTACTTGAGGGCATAGCAGTTCGACCGCCGTTTCCGACGATGTCCACCGTGCGATCAGACTCTCTCCTCCCCCCCCCCCCTGGACCCGACGTCAAGACAGAGTCAAGAAGACCAGTGGCGGGGGAGGGCACGGGTGAATGGCACAGTCGAGCCCGCACCTTAGCGTTCCTCCTCACACCCCCTGGTCCACATAGCAAATGACCAAGTTTTTGACCAAAAACAAACGAAGGGCTGGCACGGCCGAAGTCGCACCTAGGTGCGCCATCACACCTAGCTCCGATCCCACGGAGTCGCAGTGCCATAAAAGCCACATTAAGGAGGGGTCATTTCAGCCTGACTCCTGGAACATCAGTCAGCCACTCCACACAAACGCGCAACACTGGGCTGACCGACTCGGATCCCACTGAGTGGGAGTGATATAGAGGCCATATAAAGAGGCAGCCATTGCGGCCCTACTCTCAATTCACCAGTAGACCACTCCACACAAAAACACACTGTGCCGACTGCGAGGTACAAGTTACTCCGTCAGTTGACAGCCTTCCAAAGCACGGCTTTTAGCGCACCTTGATAGCCTTAAACCCGTCAGATTGTTTTTAGTGAGGAAAATGCGCTGAGCCACTGCCCTCACTCTCCCTTCCCTCCTACTGGAAAGTAGACTTGCGCAGCATCTACCGCACTCTCTCTTCCCCATCTCCCCACCTGGGCCCGGTTTTAAGACGCATCCAAGAGAACCGGAGGTGGGGAGGGGGGACGCAGACAGATGGCACGGCCGAGCCCGCACCTAGGCGTGCCATCGCACCACCCCCCACCCCCCCGGTCCGCATAGCAAACGACCTGGAATTGAAAGCACGACCACGCAGTCAAGGCACTACTATGTTGCCCGTCGTAACTCTATAGGACGCGAGTGTAACTAGCTCTCGTATCACATGTGTCCATACGCTGAATTTCAACGAGGGTTGGGGTTACCGATATGATCAGTGTTAGGGCAATGACACGGGAATAGGCACTTCCCGATAATTCCGGGAGGGCTAACCAGATGTACTTTCGATTGACCAAGCCCGTCTCAAACACGGAGCTTCGTTGCCTGATATGACATGCGTCTGTTGATGACATGGTAGAGGGTGTCCCTGTCCAGCGATCTTTGATGCTTAGAGAATATAGGCGCGCATATGCACATACTACTTATATGGAGTATATGCCACAATACAAAAATGACTATGTCTGTGAAAAAGAGATCATGCTCCTGGGGTAGGCGTCAGACAAGATGCTTACGAAGCCAGAAGAAAGACAAAGAAAGCACTATGTGTTTTAGGCCTCAGATATCTTCCATAAATTATCAGTTAGATCGTTTTATGCACTTACGGTTAACTTTCACAAGCCTTGGTCCCACATCGGATTCTTGTCCTCTGCAGGTCACCTGCAGCTCCGAGGGAACCTCCTGCATTATCCAGGGGATTTCGGCTGTCGTCACGAAACTGCTGGTGTCCCAAATGACCTCCTTTGTGATGGAATCAATCACCTCCATGTAGAAGGGGCAATCAACCTCCTTTTTTTCATCCTCTTGACTGATCTGGCAGGAGGTTATGAGATCACCGACGTGGTAGCTGGGTTTATGGGGCACCAGACTGAAGCTCGGCGGCGTTTTGACTCCTTGTCAGAAGATCAAGTAACACAGCTGACTCACCTTTGTACTTTATAATTTTGGGCGGCGTTCGCTTTCCATCAGCGTAGCAAATAACTTCTACCTTTTCTGGTTTATCAACGTATATCAGTCGGACATTCTTGGCCGGAAAGCCGGTATAGTTATAGACTTTTCCCTTCTTGAAGAAACGCACAATCAGGGGACAGGATGGCGTCCAGCGAAAACCATTCGAACTTTTGAAGGCAACTTCGCAGTAGAAAATGACGTCGTCAGACAGATATACTTCCTTCTCTGGTCTCAGACGCAGTGATTTGACTTTTATGTCACTGGACGTTCTGGTTCCATGGCTTGGCGGTCCTGGATGGACTTAAATGTAATATATCACATGTATTTTAAGTCCCAGGAATGCCTACCAATCGAAGCGAAGAGCAAGCAAATGAGAGCATATCTCGTTAAACCCGCCATAAGTTAGTTCGGGCAGTTCACTTGCCTTTACCGATCAGTCGAAAGCGGATGTCAGACAAGATGAAGCCTAAGAAAGAAACTTTAGCTTAAATTATTCCGGTCATTTAAGAACGAGTCAGAAAATGTCAGTTACCTTTCTACTGTCAATCTTCCCACGCCAACTGCCCAGTTCTGCCAGCCTGTAAATGAGCAATGAGAACGGTTCAAAATTAAAATCGATAAAATATCCCAACGAAGGCACTCGCAAATGCAACTGCATAAACACAGAGTTCAATGAAGTTAAATAAGTTGGCGAGGAGGAGAAAAGTGTAGGGGCTTGCATATTGCGTTTGGTAGCAGTTGAAATCTTCAAGGCGTAAAGCCGAAAAATCGAAGCTAGGCAAACTGGCCTAGGAATTCCCATTGTTCATCGTGTTTAAGGGCGATTTTAGGGTCGTATTTAGTACACTGCAACACGTCATTAAATTGCCAGTTTTTTCTCTTCCGTGACTATCCCTTTCCAGATTCGGTTACATGCATCCGGTAGAACCCAAGACGTTGACAGTACACATGTGCTGTGTTCTCCAAACACGAGCCACTGTGGACATAGCACTCCTTTTCATTTCCATATCCATGTCAGTTAGTTCGAACTACGAGATTGGCAATCATATACTAGCTGCGCGCACTACTCACCCCAGTAAATAGGGCAATGATGCGAGGATCAGGCTCTAACAGTGAGTCGCTGATGTGTGCTGCTATTTAGCATAAGGGTGCAAGTTAGGGGTCCTGACTAACAATATTATTTATGGAGTACGTTCAGGTTAAGGTTTCGTCATTTTCAGCATCGCGACCGTGACTCGTCTCCGTCAAGATGATGGCATGCCGAATCAAGCCTGATATCGTCTATCTCCTGGCTAATGCACCAACCTTCTCCAAACTTCAGTGTCATATGTGGTTATGTAGCCGCACATGAGGTAAACAAAGGCCGTTTAACGAGGTATAGAATGGATATCGCCGACTTGGCTACGTTTGAGCATTGCAGCGAAGGCTTAAGCGAGGTTGTGATCCATACACCCAAGTCCTTATGGGCGTCGACATCTTGCAGTGGTTTGCCAGTCAGGCGGTATACCGTGTGGTTAGGAGAACTGGTTACGCCGACGCGTAGGAAGTTACACTTGTTTACAGTGAACGGTAGAAGCCAGTCTTTTGACCATTGCTCGAGGTGGTCCAGATTTGTCTGCAGTCGCGCCTCGTCAACTTCGCTTCGTATGGTACTCCAGATCTTTATTTCCTCGGCAAACATTGCGACATCGCACTCCAGTTCGTTTCCGCAGTCGTCGACGTATACGAGGAACAGTGTAGGGCCAAGAACAGAGCCTTGGAGAACACCACTCCTAACGGCAACCTCGGCGGATTGCTAGTCACTGACGTAGACGGCTTGAGGGCGGCCGAGTAAAAAGCTTCGAATCCACATCAGAAGCTTACCTCACACTCCTATACGGCTGAGTTTGTATAGAAGGCGGTGGTGAGGCACACTGTCGAAGGTCTTTTTAAAGTCGATATAGATGGCATGCACCATATCTCCTCTATCAACAGCCCGAGTCCAGTGTTCCAGACAGTAAAGCAAGTTTGTCACACAGGATCTGCTTTTGCGGAATCCATGCTGGGAATTAAAAGGCAGACGGTTTTGCTTAAGGAACTGCATTAATTGTTGCTTTATTATTTTCCCCATAATTTTGCAGCAAAGGGAGGTGAGGCTGACAGGTCTGTAATTGTTCGCAGAGGCCCGACTTCCGCCCTCGTACAGCGGCGTAATCCACGCCGACTTCCAGTCGGGTGGCAGATATCAGGTCTCGAAGGATGTATGGAACAGCATGGAGTGGTTTAGCCGACTCACAGGCGAGTTCCTTCAAAATCTTCGCCGGAATCTCATCGGAACCTGGTGATTTTGATTCCCTTAGCCTCAGCAACTCCGTCAGAACCATACCCTCAGTGAACTGAACCGTCTCCATAATTGTGGTATCTTCAAAGGACTGAAGGGCCGAGGGGTTGAATCCTGTTTCGATATTAAAAATAGACCAAAAAAAATTCTGAAAGGTGATCAGCTTCGCTCTGTCTTCAAAAGGAAACGAAAGGCCGAAAGTCATAAAAAACCACCGGCATTGGGTCAAAAAGGTAGACAAGGCAACAGAGAAACAAGGCCGCCAACAGAACGCACATCACAACGCACAGCAACAGCATGCCAACGTAGTCACACCAACAGCAGTATTTTGTCCATCATGTGCGTCTACATGATCGCATCTTACCAGGTTAGGTTTCCGTCCGGCATTTTCGTGCGTATTTTAGTAACTAAAGGCGATCGATTTCCAAACCCGACGTTGGCGTTGCATCCTTGAAAGGATTAACAGCGGTTGCAACAGCCTGAAAGCTGGCGGGGGGGGAGGACGAGGGAGGAGGCCACCGCCCAGTTTCCCATCGATGTTGGCCTTTGGTGGAGACGAAATGTCTTTGATCTGCAGGCTCTTCATCGATATGACCCCAGGCACGCAAATGCGAACACACCCCTGTTCGGTCCTGGCTCTGATTTCGGTACCTCAGTGCGGGCGGGATCAACCGTCACGACGACCTTGATGCGCACCACGACGACCTTGTGGCGCGCACATGACCAGCATAAAGCAACGGTAAGAACTGGTTCATGCACAACCACCTACAATGCGTGACCGATCTCATGAAATGTTGGCCGAAATTCTGAAATGCGTTTTCTATTAGGAAGGATTAATAAGGTGGCGTTGTAATACTAATTATAATATAGTATAATCCTATAATATTTCGGACTCAACAGGATGTGGGCTTTTGGATGCACTTTCTTCTAAACTACCACAGAAGCCGTGTTCGGTAAAAATGTTTACTTATATAGCATGCATTTTTCATATTGATTTTTGATGGTTTTATGAATTCAAATATATTTTATAGAAAAAAATGCACACAAGTATGCGTTATTTTAATTGATTGGTAGAAAACCATACTGCCTTTATATTTTATACTCTAAGGAGGGTTACCTTTCGGTTTTAAAAGTAGTATCCATTGCAAAATTATATGAACTCCATATAGTACCTTCTTAAAGGCATAGAAGAATATATGATTTTCCCTACGCAGAACGCATGCAGCTTGCACAATGAAATCGCTAATGTAACGGCTGATCAGGCTCAAAATTATTCGGGAATTGGGAAGCTTTTTTAGAGTCAAAATATACACTTTTTCGGATAAAAAATGTAAAGTTAATTTTATGTCCTACCAAACACGTAAAAGGACGCATATGTTATGCCTTTTTTCCATAAAATTTATTTGCATTTATAAAACCATCAACAATTAATGTGAAAAATGAATGCTACTTAAGTAGTCACTTTTTACCGAATACGATTTTTACAGGAGATTGAAAAGCAGTGCATTCAAGAGCACACATCCTGATGAGTCCGAAATATTATAGGATTATGCTACATTATAATTAGTATCACAATGCCACCTTATAAATCCTTCCTAATCGAAAACGCATTTCAGAATTTCGTCCACCATTTCATGAGATCGGTCACGCACTGTAGTGTCAATGGACTACCGTCCGCCCGTCCATGCCGCTGTCTCTCCTGTGACTCCTGCGCACTGTTTATACAACCTCCGGCCACTTGCGGGAAGTGTGTCCAACTTATCTGGCTAGGGATTACTTTTAACACCTTTGAAGTTCACAAACAGGCGCCCGCCTTACCCAGCAGCCTCCGTGTTTTCTTGATTGCCAGCTAAGACAGTCTCCCACTAAAATTCCCCAACGGATTTACCCTTGGCAGGCAGACTCGCTCTCCAGCAGCACGCAGATCCCCTCAACGCATATGACTGCTCGAACGTCGATTCCGACAACGTCCAATGTGTGTCTAAAAGCATCGTGGGCGCGGTAATGGTGACTTGCGTGTGACATAGTTGGGTCAATATGAATTATGAACTGTGAAAATGTCGGCGCATCGGTGGGATTCGAACCCACGCAGTAAGGAGGGTGGCTTTAGTACAGCCAACGCTCTAACCACTTGAGCTACGAGGCTCCGTCGGACGACTCGAGTTTTATCACATTTGGGTCAAGTTTACCCTCCCAACCTTCTGCAACATCTGGAATCCACCAAATCTGATACAGTAAGTTGACTGCCCAAGCAGGATTTTCTAGGTAATTCACCTAGAATCCACCAGATGACTACCAGGCTCACGTAATTCATCAGTATTTTGACCCAAATGTGAAAAAGTCGGCGCCTCGGTGGGATTTGAACCTACATATGAATAGTTTACAATGATAGCAGGTGCTATAGTGAAGGTGCGATCACCATGACGTATCTCAAAAGGCAGGAAGGCGGTCAACAACAGTTGTGGTCAGTCAGTCAGTAGATAATTCAGTCTCGGGCACAGAAGCACTCGATGAAATCTGCGAATACCTACCGGCCAATCGGTAGGAAAATGGATTACCGATGCAAATGTCTGTGCTACTGAAATATTTATACCCTGGGATAGTGGGACAAGAAGGCGGGGTAATGGGAGGATCACACCCAGCACAGTGGCGAGGTAAGGTGCTTAAGAGCGGATGGGATCAGAAAACCCTCGTCCGTGGGGCTGATCTGGCGGTTCCTCTGTAACAGCTGCCTTGACCCGGTTAAGTCTGACTACATCCCTCTTGTCACCTTGGAGGGTCTGGCAGATCGTGGTATGGTGGAGACCAGCAGGAACTATTTCTTTCTAGAGCCATTCCCACGGCCTGTGCATGCAGTCAGTGAGCAGTGAGAATAAGTGCTCTGAGCATCACGACCACCAGGTCCAATCCCAAGTCATAAGCAGAAGACAGAAGGAACCAGAATAAGGGGCTTGTTGTGCACAGAACCTGGAGTTGTCCTCTCAGGCCGCAGTGGCCACTGGCGAAGCCAAGGCTGGTGTTAACTGCGTCGAGTCAGGCCTAAGAGTCCTTGGGACAGTGGTGGCAGCCGCTTTTGTAGGCTCGTGGGCCAAGCTCAAGTGGTGTCCAGTCAGTGTGTGTTGCATTTGCCGAAGGGTGGTGTCCCAGTGGCTTGAGTTGTGGTTGCGGGGGAGAGGTGCGTTCAAGTGGATTCATGGGCAGCTGCGGCTGTGCGGACGCAGGTATGTCCGAGCTGTCGCTAGTGTGACTTCAGGTCAGCGCGTCTGGAACGGATCACTGCAAAGGCGTGAATGACCTTGAGACAGCGAGGTCTTGAACAATGACGCCAGACCGGCTGCCCGCTACACCTCCTCCAACATAAGACTCCGTTGCTGGAGTTAGCTCGGAAACCGACGGCAAAGAATACAGGTTTTATTCGAGGAGGTGCGCGTAGTTGGTGGGATCCTCTTCGACACCGCGAGAAGTTGGGACGATCATCTTGCCTGGCACAAATTGGACCGCGCTACAGTTCACGTCCAACTTCAGTTTGCCAGGAAGTGCCTGATGAAGGTGGTACTTCCAGTTCGCAGTGTCCTCTGGGACATGCATGACAGTCTTGAGCATGTGGTTGTTGGCCGGGTTATCGTCTGTTGTCCGAATGCTTGAGCAGCCAGGGGAGGTGAGAAGAACTCGAAAAAAGTGTTGACTCAGTCAGTGGTAGTCGTAGACGGAACACCGAATATGACGAAGCAAAGACTGACGACGGCGATGGCATTGGCATTCCACAAGAACATGGTTTCACCCTGGAGGGGAGGGGCTGTTCCGGACGACACAGGCAGGAAGGTGAATGTAGCCACTGAATGCACGCAAGGCGCCTGCGACATGCAGCAGAAGTCACGAGATTACAGCCTGAGTTGCGTTTACAGGAGTTCATAGCACACTAATGCAAAACTTCCGTATCGCTACAGGTTGTGGGAGACAGGTCAAGTCTATGTGGTATGAGTTGGTGAAAAACTGCGGAGTTAACAGCAACAGAATGCGCAGAACTCAAAACAAGTCTTTCAGGATTATGCTCAGCCACTCACAGTAGGTGAACTGTTTCATGAAATGTTAGCCGAAATTCTGGAATATGTTTTCGATTCGAAAATATTACTTAGGTAGTGTTTTACTACTAATTTTCATTCAGAGTAGTCCTAATTATCGTGCACAGTAATCCTAACCTACCTCAGTCACGAAAGATGCTGGCTTTTGAATGAGCTCCCTCTCGGCCGCCTGCAGAAACAACTTAAGTACTTAAGTAGTGCAATTTTCCCTCGATTTTCGAGACCCTTATAAGCTTGAAGATAGTATGTAGAAAAAGTGCGCGAATTATTTCCTCTAGTACTCATTCGGTAGCCAGTTATGTCTTCTTTGGATATTTACTTGAAGTGAGAGTATCTTTCGATTTTTAAAACCTGCTCAATCCCCGAATACGTTTTGCCCATCTGTCACTACACTTTCGTTCAGCGTTTCCAAACTACATGCTGTTTACATACAGCCAGAGGAATATCGCACATTTTTATATGTTGTCCGGATGATGTCAGATAGGACTCATAAAATTGGGCAGTGGAAGTTGACCAGCTTGTATTGTTTACAGTAGAAGACCTAACTTATGAAATGTCAAGATCGGTATTGGAGTTGGTGGAACGGCGTATATTTTGTGTGGTTAGTTCTGTTTTTAGAACTGATTGGAATCCCATCAAGCCCTCTTCCAATGAAGAATTCATGTTACCTCTGGCCATGATTGAGCAAACTTTGACGTTTCGGGATATCCACGCGATTTCCTGTGCTATCAAGTATTGCTTATTAAAACATCTTATTTGCGCCGCGTTGGTTTACAAAGGAACATTCATGTAGCCAAGAAAATTTTCAGACAAATCAATTCTGGAAACGAAAATTGAGTTGAGGAAAATTAGGCGTAGATAAGTATGTAAAAACACATTCTTTTCATACAACAAGGGGCAATTCACTCTTTAAAAATCCTATTTAGCAAAATTGCAATGTTTAATGTCGTTAAATGCAGTAATAAGCTTGTTCGACAGTATTTTATTTATCACACCGGGAATAAGTAGGCGCTACATGCTGCCACCTTCCTATGCCACGCCATGCAACAAAGATGTCAAAACAGGAGTCAATTTTGAGCGCATACGAAAGTTATCAGTCGAAAGGTTGCCGCGTGAGTCGCTACCCAGTATTTTCAATATCAGCTAGGTCACTCTGTGGAGGACTATTAATAATAAAACAATGCCTAGAGTCCAGCAAATTTGACCAAAACGGTCCACAAGTAAGCAGGACGAGGATTTATTCGTCGAACGCTAGCAATTACCATTATATGTCTCACAGGGAACACCGATCAGTGTCTTCTACGTATAAATTCAGAACCAGGATGAAAAAATTCGGTCTCCATTAACTAAAGGCTATGATAACGCTTTTTTAAAATAGGAAATTTAGGAGAGAACGATTTTGTTTGCTCAAGAACTTATCGATCACGGACTTTCATTCTGAAAAAGTAGTTTCTTCTGTCAAGTTTTACTTTTAGACTAGCCACGGAAGTCAGCTCAGGTGGCCATATGTGGGGGGGAACTTTTCACGAGGACACATTCAATCGATTCAACTCGAGTCGTGCGGCGGGGCCTCGTAGCTCAGGTGGTTAGAGCGTTGGCCGTACTAATGCCTTCCCCTTACTGCGTAAGTTCGAATCCCACCGAGGCGCCGAGTTTTTCACGGTTGGGTCAGTAGGAATTATTCAAAAACTGCAAAATGTCGATGAATTACGTGAGCCTGGTAGTCATCTGGTGGATCCTAGGTGAATTACTTAAAACATCCTGCTTGGGCAGTCACCTTACTGTATCAGATTCGGTGGATTCCAGACGTTGCATTACGTTGGGCGGGTAACTTGACCCAAATGTGAATAAACTCGCGTCGTCCAGTGAGGCCTCGTAGTTCTCAGGTGGTTAGAGCGTTGGCTGTACAAAAGCCTTCCCCTTACTGCGTGGGTTCGAGACCCACCGAGGCGCCGAGTTTTTCACAGTTGTGTCAATAGGAAAATCCAAGAACTGTCGACGCCTGATAGTTTGGGTGGCCATTAAAATCGGAGAACGCCCGATCTGGCGGTCGACATCAGAGAGGGTCATTCGCCAATGGAACTCTTTGCCGGCGTATGTTGTTAATTCCCCTACCATGAACGTGTTCAAGAGACAACTAGATACTCACCTGCTGAAAGGCAACCCCATCTGCCGAACCTTGATCTAACGGATTACTGAATTGATTACAAATATACTACTAACAGGATTTCAACAGATCTTTTTGTGCGTTACACTTAGCCCATTTGGAAATTTTCACAGTCCGAATGCGGTGAACAAAGTTTTTCGGAATTATTTCGTGAATAACATACCCCTTTCGCCTTTATGTTATCTTGTTAAATTTATGAATTCTCCTTACTAAAACTGCAAGCAAAAGTTTTGCAATTTAACTATTTTCCCTTATATCTGTACCCTCTAAATGGAGTTTTCAGGGTTTCTGTCGTTTACTCCATATATACTGACTGACTAACTGATTAACAGCCAGGCGTAGTTCGGCATCGTAGAGGATGCATTCGACTGGAACGCCATTCAGCGATGTCGAATGGACATCATACTGTTGAAGGATAATGCACCTGTTCAGCGATCAAAAGAGGTTCCATTCCGATTTCGACTACAACGACAATGTAATTTTTAAACCACAGCCAGCCACTCCGCATGCTGTCTGGAATGTATATTTATTCCTGAAAATAGCCCAGACCTCAATATAATCGACAGTCTGTTTGTTCTAATAAAAGAAACCAGGACAAGCCAAGAAAACGACCTCCTATGCAACAAAAGCTGACAGTTACATTGACTAAACCACCATCGACAACCTTATTGTATCTATGTCCTTCCAGATTACAGACGTGATGAAAACAAAAGGCGTTCTAGAAGTACCGATATATTGCATTTATTTATTGATTTTCATTTTGTTTCATGATATTATACTTTACTTCTAAGTTGTACGTTATGTTAGGCCTCGAGCAACTGACTTGTCATAAAGTCCTTTTGCTGACTCGATTATTTTTGCTTCAGTAGTTTATTTCATAGATCATTAATGATATTTCGTAAATCAGCCAATGACGTTTTTAAACGATCGGTCACTTCTTTAACATTTTATGATGTTTGGAGGTACTGGGCAGGTGGACCGTGCTTTATAGGGGTTTTGGCGCGAAGTGTGTGACCTTTCATCTGTTAGATCAAGAACCATTTAAGTAGCACTAATAATAGATCTAATGCTATGCTGTCTTAAAAGTTTCATGATTAGAAACTTTTTAAAACCAAAAGATACTTTCTCTTTAGGTGGGAAATTTGAAGAAAACGCAACTTGATATCAAACGCGTATAAGAAAGAATATTTTGGGAATGTTTTTGCAAAATATCTTTGAATTTCTATGGGCATCGAAATTCGGTTGAAAACCTCATACTACTTACGAGTCCATTTTTGTAGAGTGGATTCTTTCAGAAAGACGAAAGCAGGCCCATTAATAAGCCGACATCTTGGCATGGCCGATATATTCTTCGATTGTGCTGCACGATAATCACAACTACAAGCCTACTCAAATAATCATTTCTAGTCCATTACCCGTATCAGAATTTCTCTTAGCATTCCATGAGACAGCGCATATACTGCAATTTTAATAATTTGCCCTCGAATATAGCATAGAATATCGGAACAAATCTCTCCCCAGCGGTAGATAATTATTGTAATTGGTGGCGGACGTCACCAGTGAATAGCTCAAAAGCGTGATTATTACACTCATGAAATTCTGTCCTCAGCTTAGACATGCGGACGTTCAGTTAAATGAGCGCAGGAGCTCCAAAGTAATTATTTGTAAATAAAAAAGAAGACATACTAGAGAAACCTGTTACACTGTGGACGTTTGACAAAAGTTCATAATAGATCTAGGCGGTTGGAAGGCCAAACTATCCACACAAATCACATGGTCTGCAGATGTCAGTCTAATAAACAACTGCGTTGACCTCTCTCCTGCTTACTGGGTTCTACGCCATCATCTACGCAGTCAACGGAGCACGGACGCCGCGACAGATTTAATAAGACTCGCGGGAGACTGCTGAATTCTGAGCTTTCTAGGCAGGGAGGCAGACGAACCAATAGGCCGGTCAGCCACTGCAGGCACCAAGTTGTTTTCCCCCCAGAGATTAGCTCTTACACGGTTGGCAAGTCTCTATCAGCAGCCTTCCTGACATCCTCAGTCAAAATTCGAAGCCACCGTGCTGCAAAAGAGTGGTTCGTCCAAGCGATCTGAAGTTCCGTCCGCTCTTTATGCAGAAAAACTCTTAATGGTGGATGTAAGTGCATGTAAGGTTCTGTGACGTGTCCTGGTACCTGACTTGGCGGTGTGGTCGCGTGGGACGTAGATGAAGAAGCTGTATAGTTCTGTCAGCCACTGCAGCCAATTTCATCTCCAGCTGGTCGACAGACCCGGACAGTCGATTGATGAGTGAGTGAAAGGAAAAAGATAGTGAGATCGACACTGATGGATCCATCCTGAAAATAGGCCAGACCTCAATATAATCGATAATCTGTTTGTTCTTATAAAAGAAAGCAGGACAAGCCAAGAAAACAACCTTCTATGCAACAAAAGCTGACAGTTACATTGACTAAACCACCATCGACAACTTTATTGTATCTATGTCCTTCCGGATTACAGAGGTGATAAAAGCAAGACATTCTAGAGGTACGGATATGTTGTATTTTTATTAATTTTCATTTTTGCTCCGTGATATTCTATTTTACTTCGACTACATTCGACTCGAATATCTTTGGTTCAGTAGCCTATTTCATAGCTCATTAATCATATTTCGTAAATCAGCCGATGACGTTTTTAAAAGGTTGGTCGTTTCTTTAATATCTAATGGTGTCTGGAGGTGCTGGGCAGGCGGACCGCGCTCTATAAGGGTTTTGGCGCGAAGTGTGTGACCTTTCATCTGTTAGATCAAGAACCATTTAAGTAGCACTAATAATAGATCTAATGCTATGCTGTCTTAAAAGTTTCATGATTAGAAACTTTTTAAAACCAAAAGATACTTTCTCTTTAGGTGGGAAATTTGAAGAAAACGCAACTTGATATCAAACGCGTATAAGAAAGAATATTTTGGGAATGTTTTTGCAAAATATCTTTGAATTTCTATGGGCATCGAAATTCGGTTGAAAACCTCATACTACTTACGAGTCCATTTTTGTAGAGTGGATTCTTTCAGAAAGACGAAAGCAGGCCCATTAAGAAGCCGACATCTTGGCGTTGCCGATATATTCAACGATTGTGCTGCAAGATAATCACTGCTACAAGCCTACTCAAGTAATCGTTTCTAGTCCATGACACATATCAGAATTTCGCTTAGCATTCCATAAGACAGCGCATATACTGCAATTTTAATAATTTGCCCTCGAATATAGCATATAAGATCGGAGCAACTCTCTCCCCAACGGTAGATAATTATTGTTATTGGTGGCGGACGTCACCAGTGAATAGCTCAAAAGCGTGATTATTACCCTCGTGAAATTCTGTCCTCAGAGTAAGCATGCGGACGTCCAAGTTAATGAACGCGGGCGATCCAAGGTAATTATTTGAGAATAAAAAAGTAGACATACTAGAGAAACTTGTCACACTGTGGACGACTGAAAAAAGTTCATAATATATCTAAGTGGTTGGAAGGCCAAACTACCCACAAAAATCACATGGTCTGCAGATGTCTATCTGATCAACATCTGTGTCGACCCCTCTCCTGCCTACTGGGTTCTACGCCATCATCTACACAGTCAACAGAGCAGGGACGCGCGACAGATTTAATAAGATTCCCAGGAGACTACTAAATTCTAAGCTTTCCTGGCAGGCAGGCAGTCAGGCAGGCAGGCGAACCAGTAGGCCCGTCAGCCACTGCAGGCACCAAGTTGTTTTCCCTAGAGATTTGCTCTTATACGGCTGGCATCACCAGTCAAAATTCGAAACGGCCAAGTCGCAAAAGAGTGGTCCATCCAAGCGATTTGAAGTTCCGTCCGTTTTTTATGCAGAAAAACTCTTAATAGTGCCTGTAAGGCTCTGTGACTTGTCCTGGTACCTGACTTGGCGGTGTGGTCGCGTGGGATCTAGATGAAGAGGCTGTATAGTTCTGTCAGCCACTGCGGCCAATTTCATCTCCAGCTGGTCGGCAGACCTGGACAGTCGATTGATGAGTGAGTGAAAGGAAGAAGAGAGTGAGATCGACACTGATGGACCCATCCAGATCCATCCACACCGTTATCCAACTCAAACTTTTGTTAGCATAGAACGATCATTCAAGTCCTACAGCCGGCCTGACCCAAGCTGTAACCTACACGCTCTTACCGCATTTCACGCCGTCGCGTTTGAGTGAATACATCACCTGGGGACTGCGTCATGATGCCTCCCGCATCATGTCTGACGAGTCCAGACACGTTTCGTCGACCTACTGTGACGTATAATACTGACTAGTAAGACGCACTTCTGCCAAACATGTTTTTCACTAGGAGATGGTCATTGCAATCTCCGACAGCTCAGGAATGTGTGTTTCAACAAAATACCAAAACAGGGACTCTAGGCAGAAGAGGAGAATGAGATCATGATTATTTTAGGATGCCCTTCAAGTTCAACAGACCCTTGCCGTTGTTTTCAAGCTTTTACTAATCGCACTCCAATATCTACTTAACAAGCTTGTATTCCGGTAACAATCGGGACATGGCACCCAAGAAAATCCACTTGAATCAAAGCAGCCTGTCTTACGGGACAGGTGGTAATAGGGGTTTCATGGGTGGTGGCTGGTCGGGATGTACGATACTAGCCGACGGAAAGTCTTATTTGAACAGGTGAGTGATCGAAGTTGGCCCGCTCTCCGTTCCGTTACTACAAAATGGGTCGCCAAAGGCAGTATAATAGTAACGGACAAGTGGAAGGCGTATAATTGTCTTCTCTCAGAAGGTTATCTACATTTCTCTGTTAACCATTCAAAGAACTTCAAGGACCCTACCACCGGACGGCACGCCAATGCCATTGAGGCATACTGGAGTAGACCGGAAATGAAACTCCACGAGGGAGGCCCTGTATGTGGTCGAGCTGTGTGGGCTCACATAGACGAAGTACAGTATCGTCTTTGGTTTGGCCTCAATGGCACCTCTTTGACAGATGCCTGGGAACTGTTCCCGGCCAATGTCGTGCGGACCTATCCTATTTAAAAGTGCTTTTGTTTTGTAATAAACGGCCATATTGTGAATGTATGCCGTATATTCAGGTGTACGTGCGTAAGGATGGGAAAGTTTGGGTAACAGCGACCATCGTCCATGTAACCTCCTGCGATGTTCGTTCGGCCAGCCCATGTTAGGCCGTCGGGGAAAGTTGAAGTAGTGCGTGAAAGTAGGCCTGCAACGGATGAGATAGCCTGAGAGCGTTTTAGTCCATTGTTAAAGGTATTATTTCTAGTTGACGGATTTTTTTGGGTGCCATCTCCCGATTGTTACCTGTATTCCTTCCTACCGTTATTAAGCAGGTCTCAGATATAAGCGAAAACTGACTCCACCTAACAATTCGACGTCGAAAGCAAGAATGACGCAGTCTATCCCCTTGATGTTTTGACCAAAACTTCAACGGTTTTTTGCGGATTGATTTGTTTTTTTTCACGAAAGGCGTAAACAGTGAAATATGTTAGCTCAGACAAATTTCGTCAAAAAAGTGGTTTCACGTAAAGTCAAGTAAAATAAGGAGTAAAAAGACGGCTGTCCCGTAACTATAAAGTGTCATTTAGAGCGTCAGCGCTTCTTTGCGTCTATACCAGGAACGGGACACCCTGTAAGTGTAACATTGTATTCATGTCGATCTGATAAAGTGTCCACAACCAGATGCAAAGCCTTCACGAATAGGTTCGATCCCAAATCGACGAAGTTTGTCATTGTTCGACTTTCGTGTACGAAGTACGAATTTTGAGCCAAACAAGATTGCGATATCGTGTGCAATCAGTACTTGCAGGGGAAAAACCAGATGAAGTCTGAAGAGCCTGAAAGCCGTGGTGGACATGTAATAGTGGTATGCTTGCAATCAGGTAAGATTTCACACTGAGATCTTCCATTCCAGGAATTAATCTCAACCCACTTCACGAAAGAGGCGTCAGAGGCAATAAAGTCGCGCTACCTCGATACATCAAGGCAGACGGTGATCCACAATGCGAAGAAGATTGGTTTGGATGATCAGGGCATTTAGAACCATCATTAGCGGAACTTTCGTAAAAACCCTAGTGCTCGCTGTGGACGATCACTTGGAGGTGGAAATATGAGGGTCTAGAGTGCTATTTTCTGTGCAAACAGGAAATTATGATGTTCACTCATACATTCGGACAATCCCAGTCAACACACTATTTCTTATGAGTGTATGGTGTTTCAACAGGTAAAACTGTGGTATACTTACAATCTAGAAGACAAAGTAAAGGTCTGGAAGCAGAGAAACCGATATAACGGCCTGACCATCTTTGAGCTCTGATCTTACTTCAATTGGGAATCCATGGTGACTGTTATTCAAGTGTACATTGCGTCTATTTGTCCACCCCTCGGCAAGCATGCTCACAGACCGAACAAAATGTTCTCAAGAAAAAGACAAATGTTTTGGTGAAGCCTCCTGCCTAAAAAGTAGTCAAACCTTATAAATGCGCCTGTACATCTTTGTTTCAATAAAGAACTGGAAGTCGGAAGGCTACATCAGAGGCTAAATGAGGTCTGTCCGGCCAATTTACCCGTGAAGAGGCAGAAGGAGACAGTCTGCCGTTTCTAGACGTGAAAATACACAGGATGGGCGATATTTGTCTCGCAACCAGCGTCCATAGAAAAGGGTCTTGTGCTGCGATCATCCTCAACTATGGAAGCAATCACCCTGCGGTTCACAAAAGAAGCTGCGTCCGAACCCTCTTCCACCGGGCCTGCCGTTATCGCAGCGATGACGATCTCCTGAAGAAAGAACTAGCTTGGTTGTTTCGATCTAACGGACATCCGATCAGATTCGTGAAGAACTGCCAGGCAAAACCTCGAGGCCCCGCCTTAAATGGAGGAATCTTGACGCAGAAATTCTTCTCCATGCCCTGTATGCAGGGAACCTCGGAAATGATCGCCCATCAGCTAAATCATTTCGGTATCCGCGTTTCCCACAAGCCTGCAACCTCGCTGCGCGCAGCCTTATCTCAAGTAAAAAATGCCTCCCCCCCCCAAAGAGGAGCAGACTAATGTCATTTATCTCATTCCGTGTGTCAATTGCCCCTGCGTATATGTTGGTCATACAGGACGACGCCTGGGAACTCGAGTTAATGAACACAAATTAGCTGTCCGTCGCCGTGACCCGCTGTCCCTCGTCTTTGCTTACGCGCTCCAGTGCGACCGCCGATTCAATTGGGATGACACTGAGGTCGCCGCC